AACAGACACTTTAGAGGTTTGTGTCAGACATGAGTGAACATACATTAGAGGTGGACATGTCACACATGAGTGAACAGATACATTAGAGGTGGACATGTCACACATTTGTTTCACATGAGTGAACATGATACATTAGCTTGAGTGAACAGATACATTAGAGGTGGACATGTCAGACATGAGTGAACAGATACATTAGAGGTGGACATGTCACACATGAGTGAACAGATACATTAGAGGTGGACATGTCACACATGAGTGAACAGACACATTAGAGGTGGACATGTCACACATGAGTGAACAGACACATAGGAGGTGGCCATGTCACACATGAGTGAACAGCACATTAGAGGTGGACATGTCACACATGAGTGAACAGATACATTAGAGGTGGACATGTCACACATGAGTGAACAGACACATGGGAGGTGGACATGTCACACATGAGTGAACATCACATTAGAGGGGGACATGTCACACATGAGTGAACAGCACATTAGAGGTGGACATGTCACACATGAGTGAACAGACAGTGGGAGCTGGGCATGTCACACATGAGTGAACAGACACTTTAGAGGGAGGTGGATTTGTCACATGCTTGAGTTCAGAATGTGGGAGCTGGGCATGTCACACATGATGAACAGCTTTGTTGGTGGATGTCATGCTTTGTTTCAGGATGATGAGATGCTTTGTTGTCATTTATGACATGGGAGCTGCTGTTTTTGGATGACATGCTTTGGGAGCATGGGCATGCTCACACATGGATGAACATGCTTTGTTTCATGGATGACATGCTTTGTTTCATGGATGAGATGCTTTGTTTCATTTATGACATGCTTTGTTTGGCATGGATGACATGCTTGGTGTTTGTTGGATGACATGCTTTGTTTCATGGATGACATGCTTTGTTTCATGGATAACATGCTTTGTTTCATGGATGACATGCTTTGTTTCATGGATGACACGCTTTGTTTCATTGATGACATGCTTTGTTTCATGGATGACACGCTTTGTTTCATGGATGAAACGCTTTGTTTCATGGATGACATGCTTTGTTTCATGGATGACATGCTTTGTTTCATGGATGACATGCTTTGTTTCATGGATGACATGCTTTGTTTCATGGATGACATGCTTTGTTTCATGGATGAAATGCTTTGTTTCATGGATGACATGCTTTGTTTCATGGATGACTGGTGCCTGTTTGGATGACATGCTTTGTTTCATGGATGACATGCTTTGTTTCATGGATGACATGCTTTGTTTCATGGATGACATGCTTTGTTTCATGGATGACACGCTTTGTTTCATGGATGACATGCTTTGTTTCATGGATGACATGCTTTGTTTCATGGATGACATGCTTTGTTTCATGGATGACATGCTTTGTTTCATGGATGACATGCTTTGTTTCATGGATGACATGCTTTGTTTCATGGATGACATGCTTTGTTTCATGGATGACATGCTTTGTTTCATGGATGACATGCTTTGTTTCATGGATGACATGCTTTGTTTCATGGATGACTGGTGCCTGTTTGGATGACATGCTTTGTTTCATGGATGACATGCTTTGTTTCATGGATGACATGCTTTGTTTCATGGATGACTGGTGCCTGTTTGGATGACATGCTTTGTTTCATAGATGACTGGTGCCTGTTTGGATGACATGCTTTGTTTCATGGATGACATGCTTTGTTTCATGGATGACACGCTTTGTTTTATGGATGACATGTTTTGTTTCATGGATGACATGCTTTGTTTCATGGATGACATGCTTTGTTTCATAGATGACTGGTGCCTGTTTGGATGACACGCTTTGTTTCATGGATGACATGCTTTGTTTCATAGATGACTGGTGCCTGTTTGGATGACATGCTTTGTTACATGGATGACATTCTTTTTTTCCATTAATGGCTGGTGTCTGTTTGGATGACATGCTTTGTTTCATGGATGACATGCTTTGTTTCAAGGATGGCACGCTTTGTTTCATAGATGACATGCTTTGTTTCATGGATGAAATGCTTTGTTTCATGGATGACTGGTGTCTGTTTGGATGACATGCTTTGTTTCATAGATGACTGGTGCCTGTTTGGATGACATGCTTTGTTTCATGGATGACATGCTTTGTTTCATGGATGACATGCTTTGTTACATGGATGACATTCTTTTTTTTCCATTAATGGCTGGTGTCTGTTTGGATGACATGCTTTGTTTCATGGATGACATGCTTTGTTTCATGGATGACATGCTTTGTTTCATGGATGACATGCTTTGTTTCATGGATGACTAGTGCCCTGTTTGCATGACACGCTTTGTTTCATGGATGGCATGCTTTGTTTCATGGATGACACGCTTTGTTTTATGGATGACACGCTTTGTTTCATGGATGACACGCTTTGTTTCATGGATGACAGGCTTTGTTACATGGATGACATGCTTTGTTTCATGGATGACATGCTTTGTTTCATGGATGGTGTTTTTGTCTTGACACAATAAAATCAGTCTAATTATTGAATAGCTGGACTGAATATTGATGAGAAAAGCCAGAGCCGCTGGCTGACTAGAATAGATCGCACAGGATTGATGGCATCGTAGAAAGGTCTCTAGTCCTTTGTGACATATCAATGGTAAAACTGGGTGAAGATAATGATCATGTTTTGTAGGCTTGCACATCAAGCAACTGGTCAACAAACAGATGAGGTTTGTCATGTGATGAAGTCACATATAGAAATAGATGCTTATAAAGATAAGCACTTCAGGTTTGTCACATGATGGAGTGAATTATAAAGGTAGACACTTGAGATTTGTCACATGATAAAGTCACTTATTGACACTTGAGGTCTGTCAAATGATGAAGCTGTTTATAAAGATAGACACTTGAGGTTTGTCAAATGATGAAGTCATTTATAAAGATAGACACTTTAGGTTTGTCAAACGAGGAAGTCACTTATAAAGATGGACACTTGAGATTTGTCACATGGTGAAGTAATAAAGATAGACACTTGAGGTTTGTCACATGGTGAAGTCATAAAGATAGACACTTGAGGTTTGTCACATGGTGAAGTCATAAAGATAGACACTTGAGGTTTGTCAAATGATGAAGCAAGCCATTTATAAAGATAGACGCTTGAGGTTTGTCACATGGTGAAGTCACTTAAAAAGATTGACACTTGAGGTTTGTCACATGGTGAAGTCACTTACAAAGATAGACACTTAAGGTTTGTCACATGGTGAAGTCACTTATAAAGATAGACACTTGAGGTTTGTCACATGGTGAAGTCACTTATAAAGATAGACACTTGAGGTTTGTCACATGGTGAAGTCACTTATAAAGATAGACACTTGAGGTTTGTCACATGGTGAAGTCACTTATAAAGATAGACACTTGAGGTTAGTCACACGATGAAATGACTCATAAAGATAGACACATGAGGTTTGTCACATAATAAAGTGACTTATAAAAATAGGCACTTAAACTTTGTCACACGATAAAGTCACTTATAAAAATATGTCCAATCTTTTGGACATGTCCAATCTGTTTATCTCAAATGTCCTGTCTGTTTATCTCACATGTCCTGTCTGTATATCTCACATGTCTAGTCTGTTTATCTCACATGTCCCATCTGTTTATCACACATGTCCCATCTGTTTATCTCACATGTCCTCTCTGTTTATCTCACATGTCCTCTCTGTTTATCTCACATGTCCTCTCTGTTTATCTCACATGTCTTCTCTGTTTATCTTACATGTCCTCTCTGTTTATCTCACATGTCCTCTTTGTTTATCTCACATGTCCTCTCTGTTTATCTCACATGTCCTCTCTGTTTATCTTTCATGTCCTCTCTATTTATCTTACATGTCCTCTCTATTTATCTTACATGTCCACTCTGTTTATTTCATGTCCTCTCTGTTTATCTTACATGTCCTCTCTGTTTATCTTACATGTCCTCTCTGTTTATCTTACATGTCCTCTCTGTTTATCTCATGTCCTCTCTGTTTATCTCATGTCCTCTCTGTTTATCTCACATGTCCAGTCTATTTATCTCACATGTCCCCTCTGTTTATCTCACATGTCCAGTCTATCTTACATGTCCTCTCTGTTCATCTCACATGCCCTGTCTGTTTCTCACACGCCCCCTCTGTTTATCTCACATGTCCTGTCTGTATATCTCACATGTCCTGTCTGTTTATCTCACATGTCTAGTCTGTTTATCTCACATGTCCTGTCTGTTTATCTCACATGTCCTGTCTGTTTATCTCACATGTCCTGTCGGTTTATCTCACATGCCCTATCTATTTATCTTACATGTCCTGTCAGTTTATCTCACATATCCTGTCTGTTTATCTCGCATGTCCTCTCTGTTTATCTCACATGCCCTGTCTGTTTATCTCACATGTCCTCTCTGTTTATCTCACATGCCCTGTCTGTTTATCTCACATGTCCTGTCTGTTTATCTCACATGTCCTGTCTGTTTATCTCACATGTCCTGTCTGTTCATCTCACATGTCCTCTCTGTTTATCTCACATGCCCTGTCTGTTTATCTCACATGTCCTGTCAGTTTATCTCACATGTCCTGTCTGTTTATCTCACATGTCCTCTCTGTTTATCTCACATGTCTTGTCTGTTTATCTCACATGTCCTGTCTGTTTATCTCACATGTCCTCTCTGTTTATCTCACATGCCCTGTCTGTTTATCTCACATGTCCTGTCAGTTTATCTCACATGCCCTGTCTGTTTATCTCACATGTCCTATCTTTTTGATCTCACACATGTCTAATCTATCCAGGACATATAAGATTGTTTACTGTGTTGTTTACAGGATTGCTGATTCTTAAAAGTAAAGATGCCGACAGCATAAGTCTGGTCTCCGCATCCAGCCAGTTGTCTGATGATGCTGCTGGAACATTTGTATCCACACAGGATACTGCTGGAACATCTGTATCCACACAGGATACTGCTGGAACATCTGTATCCACACAGATTACTTCTGGACCACCCATGGCTGCATATTCACAGGATACTGTGACATCTGTATGCACTCAGGACAGTGCCCTTAGCACACTGCAGGCTGCCGACAGTGTACTGACACTTGTAAACAGCTTGTTGCATGGAGGAGAAAAGTCATCTCCATCTCATGCTGAGCCATCCAGTGAGGATGAGAGGACAAGTCTGCTGGCACCAGGGGATGCTTGTCCAGGTAGCAGGGGCAGGATGGCAACACCAGCAGAAACCTTATTAGTTATCAACCAGGACCAGTCTGAGGCTTCATTGACACTTGCAGAAACATCAGGCAGTCTTCGGGGCAGGTCTGCACAACAGGCAAAGAATATGCTGACTGACCCAAGTATTGTGAGAAATGTTGACGTCAGTGTGGAGCACAGTGACAGTTGCAAAACTGTGACACATGTTGGTGTCAGTGTGGAGCAGAGTGACAAGTTCAGTGCTGTAAAAACTCACTGTTACCCTGTGTCTGTCAACAGCCTCAGTGAAAGTTCAGCCATTTATGACACTGACAGCACACACACACACAAGAATGTAAGCAACAGTTCTCTGTCAGAGTGTGACCAGTACCTGGACCATAGACTGACCCCACAGACATCTAACCCCAGCAAGAAACAGCAGTTAGCACAACAAGCTTCATCCATTGTAGAAAATGCTATAGCCAGTTTGAGCAAATCCACGTCAGCCATTGTAGAGACTGAGCAGCAAAAAGTGAGAAACTTACAGCCCCAACCAGGTGACTCTAAGCCTACACTGTCCAGTGAAACCTCAGTCCAAAATGTCTACTCAGAGATTGAAGTCATCGAATCCACAGATCCATTCCACAAGGGCTACAAGAGACAGACCTCTGCTGATGACTTCTACTCCTTGTTCCAAGACACATCCCCAGAATCACCCATGTCTCCCATAGACAAGCCCATTTACTCCTCCGCTCAGCAGTCCATCCCGCCCGAACCGGAGATGGAGCGCGGCACGGAGATGCAGGATGTAACTGAGCGGAGACTGGCCAACAGTTGGTCTGAGCTGACAACCTCAGCCAACATCTGCAGCCTGGCTTTGTCTAACAGCCACATCTGGTACACGGACAAGAGCGACAGCATCTACTACTCATCTTTCAACAACCCAAAGGGCATTCAGTGGCGCAAGATCACTGACCACGGCAGCCAGATTTCTGTGTCACCATCGGGGAATATTGTTTGGCGTCTGCATCGAGGCGTGGTTTATGCTGGCACCAAAATCTGCACTCGTCGCCCAGAAGGGCTCAAGTGGGTTGAGGCGGTGCGGGACGTGAAAACCATATGTGTAGACAATGATTGTGCCTGGTAAGTCTCCTGTCAGAGAAAGATAATGAGTACAGATCTGACAGGTAGTAATGTGGTTTCTCTTAATGGCACCCTACTCCAAGACGAGGAGTCATATACCTATTTGGTCAGTAAGGTAGATAAAGATGGGGAACTGATAGAGATGTTAAAATACAAATATTAAAGGCAAGAGAAGCTTTCATAGCACTAGGGAATTTGTGGAGGTCAAAAGAAATACTAAACTTTAAATTTGTTATTCCAGTGTCAAATCCAGTATGGAGCAAAAAACATGGAGAGAACATCTAAGGCAGTTACTAATAAACTACAAACATTCATTATCTGGTACCTGCGGAGTTTGGGGGAATTAAATGGTATGATAGAATCACTAATGTAGAGCTTTGGGAGAGAACTAAGCAAGTTCCAGTGGACCAAGAGGTGAAGAAAAGATGCTGGTGCTGGATAGGACACACATGGAGAAAACTGGAGAACAATATAACTAGAATATCTTTGCACTGGAACCCACAGTGGCACAGGTATAAGGAAAAGGCTGCTAGAGAGTGAAGTTAAAAAGATGGGGAGAACATTGGGAGAGCGGCATGCGATAGCACAGAATAGAACGACTTGACTTGACTTGACTTGGTTGAGGGCCTATGCTCCATTGGGGGTTAGAAAGGTAGAAGAAAAAGAAGTTACTTGTGTGTGTTTCTCTCAAAGTCTCTGCAGCTGAGGTTATTGTTGTTGTTTTTGTAGTGCACATTGTTGCCGTTGTAGTACATATCATTGTTTTTATAGTGCATATCATTGTTTTTATAGTGCATATCATTGTTTTTATAGTGCATATCATTGTTTTTATAGTGCATATCATTGTTTTTATAGTGCATATCATTGTTTTTGTAGTGCATATCATTGTTTTTGTAGTGGATCTCCAGCAAGCATAATTACTATCCTTTGTAGACCACTATGTTGCTTGACCTGACCACAGTAGTTCAGTTTCTCAGACATGCTTCTCTCTGTGATCCACTATGTTGCTTGACCTGACCTGGTCACAGTAGTTCAGTTTCTCAGACATGCTTCTCTCTGTGATCCACTATGTTGCTTGACCTGACCACAGTAGTTCAGTTTCTCAGACATGCTTCTCTCTGTGATCCACTATGTTGCTTGACCTGACCTGGTCACAGTAGTTCAGTTTCTCAGACATGCTTTTCTCTGTGATCCACTATGTTGCTTGACTTGACCTGGTCACAGTAGTTCAGTTTCTCAGACATGCTTCTCTCTGTGATCCACTATGTTGCTTGACCTGACCTGGTCACAGTAGTTCAGTTTCTCAGACATGCTTCTCTCTGTGATCCACTATGTTGCTTGACCTGACCTGGTCACAGTAGTTCAGTTTCTCAGACATGCTTCTCTCTGTGATCCACTATGTTGCTTGACCTGACCTGACCACAGTAGTTCAGTTTCTCAGACATGCTTCTCTCTGTAAGGTTCCAGTCCCACTGCCTTGTTTTTCTTCTTTAGAGAAGTAGGAGAGTCCATGATTGAAATCTGTATGTTATGACAAGAGAGACGGATGCTCTTCTGTTCTGACTTGTGTTTGTCTTTTAATATGCCATAGAATGTTGAAGCTATATAGTGACATTGCTTCTCTCTGTGATCGTCTATTGTTGCCCATTGACCAGGACCACAGACTGTGACATCAGTTTTCATTGGACATCTTGCTTTTAGAGGCAGGGTATTCACTACTGTGACATCTACTTCATTGGTGCCCATTTTAGTTCAGGGTATTCACAGACATGACATCTACTTCATTGGTGCCCTATTAGAGGCAGGGTATTCACTGACTGTGACATCTACTTCATTGGTGCCCATTTTAGAGGCAAGGTATTCACAGACTGTGACATCTTCTTCATTGGTGCCCATTTTAGAGGCAGGGTATTCACAGACTGTGACATCTACTTCATTGGTGCCCATTTTAGAGGCAGGGTATTCACTGACTGTGACATCTACTTCATTGGTGCCCATTTTAGAGGCAAGGTATTCACAGATTGTGACATCTTCTTCATTGGTGCCCATTTTAGAGGCAGGGTATTCACAGACTGTGACATATTCTTCATTGGTGCCCATTTTAGAGGCAGGGTATTCACAGACTGTGACATATTCTTCATTGGTGCCCATTTTAGAGGCAGGGTATTCACAGACTGTGACATATTCTTCATTGGTGCCCATTTTAGAGGCAGGGTATTCACAGACTGTGACATCTACTTCATTGGTGCCCATTTTAGAGGCAGGGTATTCACTGACTGTGACATCTACTTCATTGGTGCCCATTTTAGAGGCAAGGTATTCACAGACTGTGACATCTTCTTCATTGGTGACCATTTTAGAGGCAAGATATTCACTGACTGTGACTTGTTCTTCATTGGTGCCCATTTTAGAGGCAGGGTATTCACAGACTGAGACATCTTCTTCATTGGTGTCTATTTTAGAGGCAGGGTATTCACAGACTGTGACATCTTCTTCATTGGTGCCCATTTTAGAGGCAGGATATTCACAGACTGTGACATCTTCTTCATTGGTGCCCATTCTAGAGGCAGGATATTCACAGACTGTGACATCTTCTCCAGTGGTGTCTATTTTAGAGGCAGGGTATTCACAGAGTGTGACATCTTCTTCAGTGGGGCCCATTCTAGAGGCAGGATATTCACAGACTGTGACATCTTCTCGAGTGGTGTCTATTTTAGAGGCAGGGTATTCACAGAGTGTGACATCTTCTTCAGTGGGGCCCAATCTAGAGGCAGGATATTCACATACTGTGACATCTTCTCCATTGGTGCCCTATTTTACAGGCAGGGTATTCACAGAGTGTGACATCTTCTGCTGCGTTAATTGCCATTTATGGTTGACTTAGTTTCTGTAATCTCCAGAGGGAAAAAACACAAAGTTTCCACCTTCACTGACTCTCTGTTGTGGTGTGACTGTTCTTAGTTTTGACAGGCTTCTTTAAATAGTAGCCCCTGGAGCCTACTTTCTGTTTGTACCACATGTCACAGACCTCTGGTTGACCTTGATGGTCTGTGGCTCATGAGTGGGCTTCTGACAGACAATCTATACCTTACACAGACTAAACCTGAACGTACACAAAACACACATGATAATCTTTAATGTAAGTACCGATATTACAATGGACAGTTGACTTCTCGCTGTATAGTCACCTGTTACCTGGAACACTGGCCGAGCGAGCTTTACAATCACTTGCTCTACAGTCTGTTACCACAGGCAATCCCAGGTGCACAAACAACAACTCTGCGGGGGACGTTCTTGTACCTTGCCACCCAAACTCACCAAGATGTCAGAGCTTCTGTCAAGCGCAGGGTCAGCGTGACAAGGCTAGCCATTAGCTCACAAAACATACATCTAAGTGATTCAAATTGATCAAAGTTAGTGGGCATTCCCTACTTCTGGTGAAACAACACAATACCTTATACTTCAACTATACATCACAAAAAAGCTATTTTATTCTAACAGAACACTGTAAATAATCTATGCAGTCACTAAAGTAATGTCCAAACTCTTAACGTTCTATCTCTGTCTCACTAACAAGTCCTCTCGGTCCTAAATCTACAGGTCAAATCTCTGTGTTTCCTCACCTCGTGCCTTTTGACCGGTTAACCCACCCAGTAAGGTCATGGAACAAGCAGGCCGAGAACCTGCTCCGAAAAGAGTTCACTTTTACTTGTAGTATTCAAGTTGTCTCCTTTGAGTTCTAGTTTCGCCATTGCAAACAGCACATACATTGCCAGTCACGCCACTGACCTTTGTGTCAACTCTGGGGTGTACCCTGAACACGGTACACCCTCTTTAGGGTCTACTCTACCACATGACTGTACTCACGTTCTGACACCACACAAGTATTCTTTATTGCACTCAATGTGCATGTGGGGGCAGCATTGACACAGAGATATATTTTATGTCACCTGTCACAGGCTCAATGATAAAAAAAATGTGTGGAAACACCGGCATTGACTGGGTGGAGAACACACAGTTGGAAGATGTCGATTTTGTAGATGATACAATTCTGTTTATAAAAAAATTGACGTGCAGAGAATATCAAATGATTTAGCAGATAGGAAATATAGCATCAAGAGTGGGACTTCAAAGTTCTGAAAGGACATACATGTATGTGTATCCAGGCTGCACTGTGTCACTGTAGACATGAAGTTTCCTGGCTTATGATGCTGCTTTCATACACAATCTGTAAAACATATTGACCTGGTTGCTACCCTCTTGCTTAAAAGATCCCTTTCCCAGCCGTGAGGTGTGTCCCATAAATTGTGCTGTCCCCATGCTGTAAGGATTTCTTTCCCAACCGTGAGGTGTGTCCCATAAATTGTGCTGTCCCCATGCTGTAAGAATCCCTTTCCCAACCGTGAGGTGTGTCCCATAAATTGTGCTGTCCCCATGCTGTAAGGATCCCTTTCCCAACCGTGAGGTGTGTCCCATAAATAGTGCTGTCCCCATGCTGTAAGGATCCCTTTCCCAACCATGAGGTGTGTCCCATAAATTGTGCTGTCCCCATGCTGTAAGGATCCCTTTCCCAACCGTGAGGTGTGTCCCATAAATTGTGCTGTCCCCATGCTGTAAGGATCCCTTTCCCAACCGTGAGGTGTGTCTCATAAATTGTGCTGTCCCCATGCTGTAAGGATCCCTTTCCCAACCGTGAGGTGTGTCCCATAAATTGTGCTGTCCCCATGCTGTAAGGATCCCTTTCCCAACCGTGAGGTGTATCCCATAAATTGTGCTGTCCCCATGCTGTAAGGATCCCTTTCCCAACCGTGAGGTGTGTCCCATAAATTGTGCTGTCCCCATATGTTACTGATCTGTCTACACTTGCTGGTTTATTTGGTCAGTATCACCCAACAGGCTGCCTTTACTTCCCAGAATGTTCTGTCATAACATTTAATAACCAGTTGATGTTTTGACTTGCCTGACTTGAAGTTAAAAGTCTCCACCACTATTCTGTAGGTTTGTCGCAAACAGTGGTGATGTGATGTTTTGACTTGCCTGACTTAAAGTTAAAAGTCTCTGTGACTGCTCTGCAGGTTTGTCATGAAACAATGGTGATGTGATGTTTTGACTTGCCTGACTTAAAGTTAAAAGTCTCTGTGACTGCTCTGCAGGTTTGTCATGAACAATGGTGATGTGATGTTTTGACTTGCCTGACTTAAAGTTAAAAGTCTCTGTGACTGCTCTGCAGGTTTGTCATGAACAATGGTGATGTGATGTTTTGACTTGCCTGACTTAAAGTTAAAAGTCTCTGTGACTGCTCTGCAGGTTTGTCATGAACAATGGTGATGTGATGATGCAACGAAGACTGTCGCTGGAGAGGCCTTGCTATAAGTCTCAGAAAGTAGAATGTTCTCACAAACTCAAGTACATCCTAGTTCGCTTCGGCATTGTGTGGGCCATCACAGAGGAGCTGCACTTGTTGGTGCGCACAGGTGTGTCTGATGGTATGCCAGAGGGGATTGCCTGGGAGATGGATAACAGGTGAGAATTTGTAATCAGTTGTTGGTGTGCACAGGTGTGTCTGATGGTATGCCTGAGGGGATTGCCTTAGAGATGGATAACAGGTGAGAATTTGTAATCAGTTGTTAGTGTGCACAGGTGTGTCTGATGGTATGCCAGAGGGGATTGCCTTAGAGATGGATAACAGGTGAGAATTTGTAATCAGTTGTTAGTGTGCACAGGTGTGTCTGATGGTATGCCAGAGGGGATTGCCTTAGAGATGGATAACAGGTGAGAATTTGTGATCAGTTGTTGGTGCGCACAGGTGTGTCTGATGGTATGCCAGAGGGGATTGCCTTAGAGATGGATAACAGGTGAGAATTTGTAATCAGTTGTTAGTGTGCACAGGTGTGTCTGATGGTGGGCCATCTATTTTTTCGCTGTTACATAGATTTCATCTGTTTGTTCATTGTTACATTGATGTCATCTGTTTGTTCACTGTTACATAGATGTCATCTATTTGTTCACTGTTACTTTGATGTCATGTGTTTGTTTACTTTTACGTTGATGTCTTCTGTTCACTGTTACATAGATGCCATCTGTTTACTCACTGTTACAGGGATGTCATCTGTTTGTTCTCTGTTACGTTGATGTCCTCTGTTTTTCTCTGTTACATGGATATCATCTGTTTGTTCTCTGTTATGTTGATGTCATCTGTTTGTTCTCTGTTATGTTGATGTCATCTGTTTGTTCTCTGTTATGTTGATGTCATCTGTTTGTTCTCTGTTATGTTGATGTCATCTGTTTGTTCTCTGTTATGTTGATGTCATCTGTTTGTTCTCTGTTATGTTGATGTCATCTGTTTGTTCTCTGTTATGTTGATGTCATCTGTTTGTTCACTGTTATGTTGATGTCATCTGTTTGTTCTCTGTTATGTTGATGTCATCTGTTTGTTCTCTGTTATGTTGATGTCGTCTGTTTGTTCTCTGTTATGTTGATGTCATCTGTTTGTTCTCTGTTATGTTGATGTCATCTGTTTGTTCACTGTTATGTTGATGTCATCTGTTTGTTCTCTGTTATGTTGATGTCATCTATTTGTTCTCTGTTATGTTGATGTCATCTGTTTGTTCTCTGTTATGTTGATGTCATCTGTTTGTTCTCTGTTATGTTGATGTCATCTGTTCGTTCTCTGTTATGTTGATGTCATCTGTTCGTTCTCTGTTATGTTGATGTCATCTGTTCGTTCTCTGTTATGTTGATGTCATCTGTTTGTTCTCTGTTATGTGGATGTCATCTGTTTGTTCTCTGTTATGTGGATGTCATCTGTTTGTTTACTGTTACAGGGATGGGCCTCCATACCTGTTTTCCCATGTTGCTGTGGACCATGACAGCATTGGCTGGGCCATTGATGTGCTGGGTCACCTCTGGTTCTGTGACGGGGTGACCAGAGAACAACCACTGGGGAGACGACGCTGGTGGCAGGTGGGTGCCTCAACTGTCTCACTTAGGTAGATGATGCTGGTGGCAGGTGGGTGCCTCAACTGTCTCACTTAGGTAGATGATGCTGGTGGCAGGTGGGTGCCTCAACTGTCTCACTTAGGTAGATGATGTTGGTGGCAGGTGGGTGCCTCAACTGTCTCTCTTAGGTAGATGATGTTGGTGGCAGGTGGGTGCCTCAACTGTCTCACTTAGGTAGATGATGTTGGTGGCAGGTGAGTGCCTCAGCTGTCTCACTTAGGTAGATGATGCTGGTGGCAGGTGGGTGCCTCAACTGTCTCACTTAGGTAGACGGCACTGGTGGCAGGTGGGTGCCTCAACTGTCTCACTTAGGTAGACAGTGTAGGTGGCAGGTGGGTGCCTTAACTGTCTCACTTAGGTAGACGGTGCAGGTGGCAGGTGGGTGCCTCAACTGTCTCACTTAGGTACACGGCACTGGTGGCAGGTGGGTGCCTTAACTGTCTCACTTAGGTAGATACAGTGGCAGGTGGGTGCCTCAACTGTCTCACTTAGGTAGATGGCACTGGTGGCAGGTGGGTGCCTCAACTGTCTCACTTAGGTAGACGGTGCAGGTGGGTGCCTTAACTGTCGCACTTAGGTACACGGCACAGGTGGCAGGTGGGTGCCTCAGCTGTCTCACTTAGGTACACGGCACTGGTGGCAGGTGGGTGCCTCAACTGTCTCACTTAGGTAGATGATTTTGGTGGCAGGTGGGTGCCTCAGCTGTCTCACTTAGGTAAATGATGTTGGTGGCAGGTGGGTGCCTTAACTGTCTCACTTATGTACACGGCACAGGTGGCAGGTGGGTGCCTCAACTGTCTCACTTAGGTAGACGGCACTGGTGGCAGGTGGGTGCCTCAACTGTCTCACTTAGGTAGATGATTTTGGTGGCAGGTGGGTGCCTCAGCTGTCTCACTTAGGTAGACGGCACTGGTGGCAGGTGGGTGCCTCAACTGTCTCATTTAGGTAGATGATGTTGGTGGCAGGTGGGTGCCTCAACTGTCTCACTTAGGTAGACGGCACTGGTGGCAGGTGGGTACCTAAACTGTCTCACTTAGGTAGATGATGTTGGTGGCAGGTGGGTGCCTCAACTGTCTCAATTAGGTAGATGATGTTGGTGGCAGGTGGGTGCCTCAACTGTCTAACTTAGGTAGATGGCACTGGTGGCAGGTGGGTACCTCAACTGTCTCACTTAGGTAGATGATTTTGGTGGCAGGTGGGTGCCATAAATTACAACTTTCTCAGGTAGCTTTGAAGGAAGCATCCCTATAAAGTTATACATGCTTGTTGGGGGGCAGTGGTCTATTGGTGCCCCAGACCCCACACGGGAAAGATGATGAATAAACATTTCTATTGTGTATGCTGTCATCTTACAGCCAACATTGCTGCTGGGTTCATGCACATCAGCTTCTAGCTTTCATCGGATGAGGTGACTGGTTGCTTGCCTCATTGCCTGTCATGTGTTGAAGCATAGCTAGAATAAGTCAGGGAGCATCTCAACCATTCACATAACATCTGGAGTAAGACGTGGATGTACCTATCACCACAGCTGATTCTCACACAGATAGACTGTATATGCAAGGATATCATAGCCAGGAACACATGTACCAGTAACATCAGCCAATGATTCCTTGCTGATGACCAGGCCTTCATAGCAGATTCAGCTGTGAAACTGCAGCAGCATCTGACAGCCATGAGTGAAGAATGTCAGACAAATATCATGAGAATCAACACAGAAGAGACCATAAAGGATAAAGTCAATTGGAAGACAGATGCAGAAATTAAGTATAGCAGTAGAGTGCCAAGACATTAAACAGGTGTCTAAGATTAAATATCCGGAAACAACATTGACCTAAGACAAGAAAGTAAATAAAGACATTAACATCTGATACTGTAAACAACATTGACCTAAGACAAGAAAGTAAATAAAGACATTAACATCTTATACTGTAAACAAAACAAGTACACAGAAACATCTCATACAAAGCATATTCATTCCCAGAAAATTAGTAGCCATGGAAATGAGATGTCTGAGAATTGCTGCAGAAGTCTCCAGAAGAGAGATAATCAGGGATGAGGTCATAAGAGAACAAGTTGGCACTGAGATAGGGATTCCAACACTTGGGGAAAGAATGGTTCCGATGAGAGGCCCAGATGGTCCAGCTACCTGTCATGTCCAGTGTGCAGCCCAGTAGCTGATCTTCTGTGTCCAGTCAGTCTGTGCACAGTTGTAGAGAAGTCATCTCTCTGTGATTGTGTGTCTACAGGTGCCCCAGCGAGGCGAGTACATCCTTCAGGATAAGACAAGTCTGGACATGATCCGGGAACTGGCTCTCAAGTTTGACCCCATCAAGCTGTCCCACATCTCCAGGACCAGACGGAGCGGCCTTATCACGGCCGGCTCCCAGGGAGTTTGGCTGGCCATGGATTTCAAGAATGTCCTGCAAGTGTGTCGAGGAAATATACAAGGTACTGCCAAAACATGGCTCTCTCTTTACCAAGGTTGGTTTGATATCTGTGGCATGTCGAGGAGGAGAAAAAAAGGCAGGGCTTCAGCCGTCTAGTGTGGGGAACTGAGTCACTAATGGTGAACTGACTTGAGGGGAACTAAGACACTAATGGTGAACTGACTTGAGGGGAACTGAGTCACTAATGGTGAACTGACTTGAGGGGAACTGAGACGCTAATGGTGAACTGACTTGAGGGGAACTGAGACACTAATGGTGAACTGACTTGAGGGGAACTGAGACACTTATGGTGAATTGACTTGAGGGGAACTGAGTCACTAATGGTGAACTGACATTAGAGAAGACTGGCTAGAAGGGGGAGGGGGATGAATCAATAGATGTGAGGTGTTCCACTAAAGCTGAGGTAGCCCACAGAATGAAGAAAACAAGTATAGATTAGAGGTGTGCTCAGGAGTTTTCCTGGCAGCTAGACTCGGCTTGTTTGATTGTCACCTGAGAATGGACTGAGGTCCCATAATACTCGACTGAGGTCCCATAAGACTGGGCTGAGGTCCCATAAGACTGGTCTGAGGTCCCATAAGACTGGGCTGAGGTCCCATAAGACTGGACTGAAGTCCCATAAGACTGGACTGAAGTCCCATAAGACTGGACTGAGGTCCCATAAGACTGGACTAAAGTCCCATAAGACGAGTGAGATCCCATAAGACTGGACTGAGGTCCCATAAGACTGGACTGAGGTCCCATAAGACTGGACTGAAGTCCCATAAGACTGGACTGAGGTCCCATAAGACTGGACTGAAGTCCCATAAGACGAGTGAGATCCCATAAGACTGGACTGAGGTCCCATAAGACTGGACTGAGGTCCCATAAGACTGGACTGAAGTCCCATAAGACTGGACTGAAGTCCCATAAGACTGGACTGAAGTCCCATAAGACTGGACTGAAGTTCCATAAGACTGGACTGAAGTCCCATAAGACTGGACTGAAGTCCCATTAGACAGGACTGAAGTCCCATAAGACTGGACTGAAGTCCCATAAGACTGGACTGAAGTCCCATAAGACTGGACTGAGATCCCATAAGACTGGACTGAGATCCCATAAGACTGGACTGAAGTCCCATAAGACGAGTGAGATCCCATAAGACTGGACTGAGGTCCCATAAGACTGGACTGAGGACCCATAAGACTGGACTGAGATCCCATAAGACTGGACTGAGGTCCCATAAGACGAGTGAGATCCCATGACTGGACTGAGGTCCCATAAGACTGGACTGAGGTCCCATAAGAATGGACTGAGGTCCCAAAAGAATGGACTGAGGTCCCATAAGACTGGACTGAGATCCCATAAAACTGGACTGAGGTCCCATAAGACTGGACTGAAGTCCCATAAGACTTGACAGCTGAGCTGTGAAATGAGATTGGACAGAGGGGATGTTGAGGGGGGTGAGTTTGGACTATGGTGAAATGAAACTGGAATCAAGTGATGGAAACAATCACCACTATGCTGTGCTACCTTCTCCAGGCTACCACTGGTTTGAAGCACAACCAGCCCAGATGTCCCCCAAGTCAACCTGGAGGCAAGTCTGTGCCGAGGTGTCACATCTTGACTGGGGTAAGTCTGTGCTGAGGTGTCACATCTTGACTGGGGTAAGTCTGTGCAGAGGTGTCACATCTTGACTGGGGGTAAGTCTGTGCTTAGGTGTCACATCTTGACTGGGGGTAAGTCTGTGCCGAATTGTCACATCTTGACTGGGGTAAGTCTGTGCTGAGGTGTCACATCTTGACTGTGCTGAAGTGTCACATCTGGACTGGGGTAAGACTGTGCTAAGATGTCACATTCGACTGGGATAAGTCTGTGCTGAGATGTCACATTTGACTGAGATAAGTCTGTGCTGAGATGTCACATTTGACTGAGATAAGTCTGTGCTGAGATGTCACATTTGACTGAGAAAAGTCTGTGCTGAGATGTCACATTTGACTGAGATAAGTCTGTGCTGAGATGTCACATTTGACTGAGATAAGTCTGTGCTGAGATGTCACATTTGACTGAGATAAGTCTGTGCTGAGATGTCACATTTGACTGAGATAAGTCTGTGCTGAGATGTCACATTTGACTGAGATAAGTCTTTGCTGAGATGTCACATTTGACTGAGATAAGTCTTTGATGAGATATCACATTTTACTGAGATAAGTCTGTGCTGAGATGTCACATTTGACTGAGATAAGTCTGTGCTAAGATGTCACTTTTGACTGAGATAAGTCTGTGCTGAGATGCCACATTTCACTGGGGTAAGTGCTGGTTTCTATTGTCAGCAGCAGCAGCTGTATTGGGATAACTAGTGCTAGTTTATGCAGTCACCTGCAGCTGTATGTGAGTATAAGCAGTGCTGGTTTCTGGGGTCAGCTGGAGCAGTGTGTGAGAATAAGCAGTGCTAGCTTCTGTGCTCATCTGGAGCTGTGTGTGAGGATAAACAGTGCTAGTTTCTGTGCTCATCTGGAGCTGTGTGTGAGGATAAACAGTGCTAGTTTCTGTGCTCATATGGAGCTGAGTGTGAGGATAAGCAGTGCTGGTTTCTGGGGTCAGCTGGAGCTGTGTGTGAGGATAAGCAGTGCTAGTTTCTGTGCTCATCTGGAGCTGTGTGTGAGGATAAACAGTGCTAGTTTCTGGGCTCATCTGGAGCTGAGTGTGAGGATAAGCAGTGCTAGTTTCTGGGGTCAGCTGTGGGGAATGTTTGTCTATGAACAGAAGCTGTGTCCAGAGATGAGCCAAAGTGGTGTCTTTAGAGGTGTGGCTTTAGGGAGAGAGAGAGATTCTGACCATGCTCTGGTTGTTGGTTTGGATATGAGGTGTCTGTTGATTGTGAAATATTGTTTTGTTTTTCTGTGAGGTATCATGTCCACTGTGTGTAGTGTGATGTAGATATTGACTGTGAGATGTGGGCTGTTGACTGTGAGATGTGGGCTGTGTGATGTGGGCTGTTGACTGTGAGATGTGGGCTGTTGACTGTGAGATGTGGGCTGTTGACTGTGAGATGTGGGCTGTTGACTGTGAGATGTGGGCTGTTGACTGTGAGATGTGGGCTGTTGACTGTGAGATGTGGGCTGTTGACTGTGAGATGTGGGCTGTGACTGTGAGATGTGGGCTGTTGACTGTGAGATGTGGGCTGTTGACTGTGTGATGTGGGCTGTTGACTGTGAGATGTGGGCTGTTGACTGTGAGATGTGGGCTGTTGACTGTGAGATGTGGGCTGTTGACTGTGAGATGTGGGCTGTTGACTGTGAGATGTGGGCTGTTGACTGTGAGATGTGGGCTGTGAGATGTGGGCTGTTGACTGTGAGATGTGGGCTGTTGGCTGTGAGATGTTGGCTGTGAGATGTGGGCTGTTGACTGAGATGTGGGCTGTTGACTGTGAGATGTGGGCTGTTGACTGTGAGATGTGGGCTGTTGACTGTGAGATGTGGGCTGTTGACTGTGAGATGTGGGCTGTTGACTGTGTGATGTGGGCTGTTGACTGTGAGATGTGGGCTGTTGGCTGTGAGATGAGGGCTGTTGACTGTGAGATGTGGGCTGTTGACTGTGAGATGTGGGCTGTTGACTGTGAGATGTGGGCTGTTGACTGTGAGATGTGGGCTGTTGACTGCGAGATGTGGGCTGTTGACTGTGAGATGTGGGCTGTTGACTGTGAGACATGTGCTGTTGACTGTGAGACATGTGCTGTTGACTGTGAGATGTGGGCTGTTGACTGTGAGATGTGGGCTGTTGACTGTGAGATGTGGGCATTGACTGTGAGATGTGGGCTGTTGACTGTGAGAGTGGGCTGTTGACTGTGAGATGTGGGCTGTTGGCTGTGAGATGTGGGCTGTTGGCTGTGAGATGTGGGCTGTTGACTGAGATGTGGGCTGTTGACTGTGAGATGTGGGCTGTTGACTGTGAGATGTGGGCTGTTGACTGTGAGATGTGGGCTGTTGGCTGTGAGATGTGGGCTGTTGGCTGTGAGATGTGAGATGTGGGCTGTGAGATGTGAGCTGTGAGATGTGGGCTGTGAGATGTGGGCCATGAGATGTGGGCTGTTGGCTGTGAGATGTGGGCTGTTGGCTGTGAGATGTGGGCTGTTGACTGTGAGATGTGGGCTGTTGACTGTGAGATGTGGGCTGTTGGCTGTGAGATGTGGGCTGTTGGCTGTGAGATGTGGGCTGTTGGCTGTGAGATGTTGGCTGTGAGATGTGGGCTGTTGACTGAGATGTGGGCTGTTGACTGTGAGATGTGGGCTGTTGACTGTGAGATGTGGGCTGTTGACTGTGAGATGTGGGCTGTTGGCTGTGAGATGTGGGCTGTTGGCTGTGAGATGTGGGCTGTGAGATGTGGGCTGTGAGATGTGGGCTGTGAGATGTGGGCCATGAGATGTGGGCTGTTGGCTGTGAGATGTGGGCTGTTGACTGTGAGATGTGGTCTGTTGACTGTGAGATGTGGGCTGTTGACTGCGAGATGTGGGCTGTTGACTGTGAGATGTGGGCTGTTGACTGTGAGACATGTGCTGTTGACTGTGAGACATGTGCTGTTGACTGTGAGATGTGGGCTGTTGACTGTGAGATGTGGGCTGTTGACTGTGAGATGTGGGCTGTTGACTGTGAGATGTGGGCTGTTGACTGTGAGATGTGGGCTGTTGACTGTGAGATGTGGGCTGTTGGCTGTGAGATGTGGGCTGTGAGATGTGGGCTGTTGGCTGTGAGATGTGGGCTGTGAGATGTGGGCTGTTGACTGAGATGTGGGCTGTTGACTGTGAGATGTGGGCTGTTGACTGTGAGATGTGGGCTGTTGACTGTGAGATGTGGGCTGTTGACTGTGAGATGTGGGCTGTTGACTGTGAGATGTGGACAGTTGACTGTGAAATGTGGGCTGTTGACTGTGAGATGTGGGCTGTTGACTGTAAGATGTGGGCTGTTGACTGTGAGATGTGGGCTGTTGACTGTGAGATGTGGGCTGTTGACTGTGAGGTGTGTGTGGGCTGTGATATGTGTGTTGACTGTCAGGTGGGTGTTGACTGTGATGTGTGTTGTGGCTGTGATATGTGTGTTGGCTGTCAGGTGTGTGTGTTGGCTGTCATATGTTTGGTGGCTTTGAGGTGTGTGTTGACTGTCAGCTGTGTGTTCACCATCAGGTGTGTTGACTGTCAGGTGTATGTTGGAAGGTGTGGTGATGCCAGTGGATACCCCATGTAAAGACAGTGTGTTGCTGATTCTGCAGGAACTGTGTGGGCTCAGCACACAAACGGAGATGTGTTCACATTTAAACGGGCTGGTTCGGCGGCTACCATGATTGCCGACTGTACCGACATCTGCTGCCTGGCCGTTGGTCCCACAGCCACCTGGGCACTTACCACTGAAGGGGTCATCCTAGTACGGGCTGGCACGGGGCCTCACTGTCCACAGGGGACAGCATGGGTAGAACTGGATATATCACAGCTAGGTCAGAGCTTGTCTTCTGTTTGTTTCTCTGTGTGTCTGCATGCCTGTATGTGATAGGACAGGCTCAGATATTGTTTCTCTGTGTGTCTCCATGCCTGTATGTGATTGTTAGGACAGGCTCAGATATTGTCTCTCTGTGTCTCCATGCCTGTATGTGATTGTTTGCACAGGCTCAGATATTGTTTCTCTGTGTCTCCATGCCTGTATGTGATTGTTTGTACAGGTTCAGATATTGTTTCTCTGTGTGTCTACATGTCTGTATGTGATTGTTTGCACAGGTTCAGATATTGTTTCTCTGTGTGTCTGCATGCCTGTATGTGATTGTTTGTACAGGTTCAGATATTGTCTCTCTGTGTCTACATGTCTGTATGTGATTGTTTGCACAGGTTCAGATATTGTTTCTCTGTGTGTCTACATGTCTGTATGTGATTGTTTGTACAGGTTCAGATATTGTTTCTCTGTGTGTCTCTATGCCTGTATGTGATTGTTTGTACAGGTTCAGATATTGTTTCTGTGTGTGTCTACTTGTCTGTATGTGATTGTTTGCACAGGCTCATTAATTGTTTCTGTGTCAGTATATAAGATCTGTTACTTCACTGTGTGTATATTGTTGAAAAATGTGAGGCATCCAAGTGGTATCAGGCTGCAAACCAAGCTGAAGGTAGACAGAGCTGCGGGCTTACAGTACTGCTGAATGCTTGTGAAACATAGACTGCTATATACAGACCTCATGCAAAGAAGCTCAACCACTTTCACACAGTCTCTGAGAAAGATATTGAACACTTAATTGGCCCTTTGGGAACAAGCAACAGAATTTTGTGTGATAAGGTTAAAGGTAGACATTCTTATGGTGAGGTAAAAGGTAGACACTCTTATGGCAAGGTAAAAGGTAGACATTCTTATGGTGAGGTAAAAGGTAGACACTCTTATGGTGAGGTAAAAGGTAGACACTCTTATGGTGAGGTAAAAGGTACAAACTCTAATGGTGTTGTAAAAGGTAGACACTCTTATGGTGAGGTAAAAGGTAGACACTCTTATGGTGAGGTAAAAGGTACAAACTCTAATGGTGTTGTAAAAGGTAGACACTCTTATGGTGAGGTAAAAGGTAGACACTCTTATGATGGGGTAAAAAGTAGACACTCTTATTGTGGGGTAAAAGGTAGACACTCTTATGGTAGGGTAAAAAGTAGACACTCTTATGGTGGGGTAAAAGGTAGACACTCTTATGGTGAGGTAAAAGGTAGACACTCTTATGGTGAGGTAAAAGGTAGACACTCTTATGGTGGGGTAAAAGGTAGACACTCTTATGGTGAGGTAAAAGGTAGACACTCTTATGGTGGGGTAAAAGGTAGACACTCTTATGGTGAGGTAAAAGGTAGACACTCTTATGGTGGGGTAAAAGGTAGACTCTCTTATGGTACGGTAAAAGGTAGACACTCTTATGGTGAGGTAAAAGGTAGACACTCTTATGGTGAGGTAAAAGGTAGACACTCTTATGATGGGGTAAAAGGTAGACACTCTTATGATGATGTTAAAGGTAGACACTCTTATGGTGAGGTAAAAGTAGACATTTTAAGATGACAGGGAAAAAATTACCAACTGACACGCTAAAAGAATTATTGAAAGCCTCCAGTATAAACTCTGACAGTTGGGAAGCATAAGACCCAGCTATGTGGCAATGTCTGTCCAAAGAGGCAGAATGACTTGGGAGGCATAAGACCCAGCTATGTGGCAATGTCTGTCCAAAGAGGCAGAATGACTTGGGAGGCATAAGACCCAGCTATGTGGCAATGTCTGTCCAAAGAGGCAGAATGACTTGGGAAGCATAGGACCCAGCTATGTGGCAATGTCTGTCCAAAGAGGCAGAATGACTTGGGAGGCATAAGACCCAGCTATGTCAAGGAAGGCATCAAGGAAAACAGCAGTTGAACCATGAAGACAGGTTAGAACAACTGGTACCCCCAGTGTGGGTTCCGGGGCCCCATTGTGGGGAAAACAAGAATAGACCCACTGCCTCCCCAAAAGCATGTCGTAAGAGTCGACTAATTGGGGAGCTTTGAAGTCGGAGTGCATCTGCCGGAGAGGCAAGGAACCAACAGTCTGTATTCAAGAGAATAAGGTCTGTAAAACTGATGCACATGCAACACTCAGGTTCTGGAGTAGGACTGCAGTTCAGTAGTGGACGAACAACCAGAACTTTCCGCCAGAGTTTACAGCTGGTGAACGCGAAGAAGAAGAAGAAGAACAACTGGTGTAACAGGCCCTTTATCTACAAACACTGCTGCCTGTCCTTGGTACTTCTGGGCCCCTGTTGGGCTGCCAGACAATCAGTTATGGTTTCATGACAGATGACAGAAAGAGGCTCTTCATCACTTGTGGGCCCCTGTTGGGCTGCCAGACAATCAGTTATGGTTTCATGACAGAAAGAGGCTCTTCATCACTTGTGGGCCCCTGTTGGGCTGCCAGACAATCAGTTATGGTTTCATGACAGAAAGAGGCTCTTCATCACTTGTGGGCCCCTGTTGGGCTGCCAGACAATCAGTTATGGTTTCATGACAGATGTCAGAAAGAGGCTCTTCATCACTTGTGATGGATGAACTGTAATAAAATATTGTTGAACCTCTCTCTGCGCCTCTCCTTGTCTATGCCTCTCTCTCTCTGCCTTTGTGTGTGTGTGTGTGTGTGTGTGTGTGTGTGTGTGTGTGTGTGCATGAGTGAAGATATATATATATATATATAGTTGTTGTTGCCAAGTACTTTATGTCCTGTGTTCTCTGGTGCCCCATGTGTTATCCAGTGCCCCATGTGTTATCCAGTGCCCCATGTGTTATCCAGTGCCCCATGTGTTATCCAGTGCCGTGTCTGTTATGTACTGATTTCTAGAGAAAAGGAGGGAGATGTTTAGTTTCGCTGGACTCAAACATAAACGAAGGTCATTTTTTGCCCATGTTAAAGGAAGGTCATTTGCCCATGTTAAAGGAAGGTCATTTGCCCATGTTAAACGAAGGTCATTTGCCCATGTTAAACGTCATGATGGTCTGGAGAGGACGGTGATGGAGGTCACAGTTTCCAGAAAACGAGGCAGAGGCCAACCACTGTAAAAGTGGATACGAGATATTGTCTATAAAAGCACACAGGGCTGGAGACAGCTAGAGAAAGAGAGATGTTTAGGTGTGCCGTGATGAGAATGACATTCGTGAAAGGACCAGCTTATTAATCATGTGGATGTCTTTGCCATTGAGCTGATGTTTATAGTTGAGCTAAGATGTCACTGACCACAACTCTCCCACTGTATGAAACATGTGGATGTCTTTGCCATTGAGCTGATGTTTATAGCTGAGCTAAGATGTCACTGACCACAACTCTCCCACTGTATGAAACATGTGGATGTCTTTGCCATTGAGCTGATGTTTATAGTTGAGCTAAGATGTCACTGACCACAACTCTTCCCCTGTATGAATCATGGCTGGAGCTGATTGCTTGTGTTCTCCCCCTGTATGAAACATGGCCGGAGCTGATTGCTTGTGTTCTCCCACTGTATGAAACATGGCCGGAGCTGATTGCTTGTGTTCTCCCACTGTATGAAACATGGCCGGAGCTGATTGCTTGTGTTCTCCCACTGTATGAAACATGGCCGGAGCTGATTGCTTGTGTTCTCCTCCTGTCTCTAGGTCAGGCGCACATTGTCCACATCACTTGTAACTCCCTGTATGTGTGGGCTGTGGAGGCGGACGGCACAGTCTACCAGAGGATTGGAGCCAAGGCCCCCTCACACAATAACCTCAGCCCTGCCTGGCTGGCCATAGATTCCTTCGATGCTATTCTTTTCACACGCATTTATGTGGGCCAGCTGGACTGGATGGTAGGTGTTTATCACTGCTACATTTGAGTTCTGCTCTTCATTGTTTCTCTGCCACTAGTGTTTTATTGTTTCTCTGCCACTAGTGTTTCATTGTTTCTGTGCCACTAGTGTTTCATTGTTTCTCTGCCACTAGTGTTTCATTGTTTCTGTGCCACTAGTGTTTCATTGTTTCTGTGCCACTAGTGTTTCATTGTTTCTGTGCCACTAGTGTTTCATTGTTTCTGTGCCACTAATGTTTCATTGTTTCTCTGCCACTAGTGTTTCATTGTTTCTGTGCCACTAGTGTTTCATTGTTTCTGTGCCACTAGTGTTTCATTGTTTCTGTGCCACTAGTGTTTCATTGTTTCTCTGCCACTAGTGTTTCATTGTTTCTCTGCCACTAGTGTTTCATTGTTTCTCTACCACTAGTGTTTCATTGTTTCTGTGCCACTAATGTTTCATTGTTTCTGTGCCACTAGTGTTTCATTGTTTCTGTGCCACTAGTGTTTCATTGTTTCTGTGCCACTAGTGTTTCATTGTTTCTCTGCCACTAGTGTTTCATTTCTACATATTGTTTCTGTGCCACTAGTGTTTTATTGTTTCTGTGCCACTAATGTTTCATTGTTTCTCTGCCACTAGTGTTTCATTGTTTCTGTGCCACTAGTGTTTCATTGTTTCTCTGCCACTAGTGTTTCATTGTTTCTGTGCCACTAGTGTTTCATTGTTTCTCTGCCACTAGTGTTTCATTTCTACATATTGTTTCTGTGCCACTAGTGTTTTATTGTTTCTGTGCCACTAATGTTTCATTGTTTCTTTGCCACTAGTGTTTCATTGTTTCTGTGCCACAAGTGTTTCATTGTTTCTGTGCCACTAGTGTTTCATTGTTTCTGTGCCACTAGTGTTTCTGTGCCACTAGTGTTTCATTTTTCAATTTGTTTCTGTGCCACTAGTGTTTCATTTTTCAGGTTGTTTCTCTGCCACTAGTGTTTCTGTGCCACTAGTGTTTCATTTTTCAGGTTGTTTTTCTGCCACTAGTGTTTCATTGTTTCTGTGCCACTAGTGTTTCATTGTTTCGAACGAACTTTATTTTCAAAGGGTCACAAATTGGGCACGCAGGCCCGTCTTACATTCGGCCCTTCCAGCAGTTGTGTTTTACTAATAAAGCATGTTATGATCATATGATGTTATGCATATTATGAATATTATAAAAGAACACAAAAGCATGAGTTGTAAAGTGCATGCAAAAACCCGCGCGTGCATATATACACCCGCATACACACGCTCACCCACTCACTTACACACACAAACATGCATGCATACATTACATACATACATACACAGATACATATAAACAAACATGCATACACACATACACACACACTAGTGTTTCATTTTTCAGGTAGTTTTTCTGCCACTAGTGTTTCCTTTTTCAGGTTGTTTCTGTGCCACAAGTGTTTCATTTTTCAGGTTGTTTCTGTGCCACTAGTGTTTCATTGTTTCTGTGCCACTAGTGTTTCATTTTTCAGGTTGTTTCTGTGCCACTAGTGTTTCATTTTTCAGGTTGTTTCTGTGCTAGAATATTTGTGTGGCTGTAATATTGTATTGGCTAGACCTGTTGTATTGATAGAAGGTTGTGTTGATAGAAGGTTGTGTTGTTGGAACGGTGTGTTGCTAAAACATCAGTGTGGCTAGAATATTTGTGTTGCAAAAACATTTGTGTTGCTAGAATATTTGTGTGGCTATAATATTTGTGTGGCTAGAACTTTTGTGTTTATAGAACATTTTTGTTGCTAGAAAATGTAGGTTGTTAGAGTGTTTATGTTGCTAGAATGTTTGTGTTGCTAGAACATTTGTGTTGCTAGAACATTTGTTTTCATAGAACATTTGTGTTGGTAGAAAATGTAGGTTGTTAGAATGTTTATGTTGCTAGAATGTTTGTGTTGCTAGAACATTTGTATTGGGAGAACATTTGTGTTTGTAGAACATTTGTGTTGGTAGAACATTTGAGTTGCTAGAAAATGTAGGTTGTTAGAATGTTTATGTTGCTAGAACATTTGTGTTGGTAGAACATATGTGTTGGTAGAACATTTGTGTTGCTAGAACATTTGTGTTAGGAGAACATTTGTGTTGGTAGAAAATTTGTGTTGGTAGAACATCTGTGTTGGTAGAAAATTTGTGTTGCTAGAACATTTGTGTTGCTAGAACATTTGTGTTGGTAGAACATTTGTGTTGGTAGAAAATGTAGGTTGTTAGAATGTTTATGTTGCTAAAAAGTTTGTGTTGCTGGAACATTTGTGTTGCTAGAACATTTGTGTTGGTAGAACATTTGTGTTAATAGAAAATTTGTGTTGGTAGAAAATTTGTGTTGCTAGAAAATGTAGGTTGTTAGAATGTTTATGTTGCTAGAATGTTTGTGTTGCTGGAACATTTGTGTTGCTAGAACATTTGTGTTGCTAGAACATTTGTGTTGGTAGAAAATTTGTGTGGGTAGAAAATTTGTGTTGCTAGAAAATGTAGGTTGTTAGAATGTTTATGTTGCTAGAATGTTTGTGTTGCTAGAACATTTGTGTTGCTAGAACATTTGTGTTGCTAGAACATTTGTGTTGCTAGAACATTTGTGTTGCTAGAACATTTGTGTTGCTAGAAAATTTGTGTTGGTAGAAAATTTGTGTTGGTAGAACATTTGTGTTGGTAGAACATTTGTGTTGCTAGAACATTTGTGTTGGTAAAACATTTGTGTTGGTAGAAAATGTAGGTTGTTAGAATGTTTGTGTTGCTAGAACATTTGTATTGGTAGAACATTTGTGTTTGTAGAACATTTGTGTTGGTAGAACATTTGAGTTGCTAGAAAATGTAGGTTGTTAGAATGTTTATGTTGCTAGAACATATGTGTTGGTAGAACATTTGTGTTGCTAGAACATTTGTGTTAGGAGAACATTTGTGTTGCTAGAACATTTGTGTTAGGAGAACATTTGTGTTGCTAGAACATTTGTGTTAGGAGAACATTTGTGTTGCTAGAACATTTGTGTTAGGAGAACATTTGTGTTGCTAGAACATTTGTGTTAGGAGAACATTTGTGTTGGTAGAACATTTGTGTTAGGAGAACATTTGTGTTGCTAGAACATTTGTGTTAGGAGAACATTTGTGTTGCTAGAACATTTGTGTTAGGAGAACATTTGTGTTGGTAGAAAATTTGTGTTGGTAGAAAATTTGTGTTGGTAGAAAATTTGTGTTGGTAGAAAATTTGTGTTGGTAGAAAATTTGTGTTGGTAGAACATTTGTGTTGCTAGAACATTTGTGTTGGTAGAACATTTGTGTTGCTAGAACATTTGTGTTGGTAGAACATTTGTGTTGCTAGAACATTTGTGTTGGTAGAACAAAGATATGAGAAACTGTTATGTAACCATAGCAAACACCAGTGATCTTGTCCGCAGGTCTGGGCTCTCGACAACAGGAGACTCATCTACATTAGGGCAGGGATCACCGATTTGATGCCCATCGGACAGGAGTGGGTTCATGTACCAGGTATGTCAGATTGTACATCCACATTAGGGCAGGGATCACCGATCTGATGCCCATCGGACAGGAGTGGGTTCATGTACCAGGTATGTCAGATTGTACATCTACATTAGGGCAGGGATCACCGATCTGATGCCCATCTGACAGGAGTGGGTTCATGTACCAGGTATGTCAGATTGTACATCCACATTAGGGCAGGGATCACCGATCTGATGCCCATCGGACAGGAGTGGGTTCATGTACCAGGTATGTCAGATTGTACATCCACACTAGGGCAGGGATCACCGATCTGATGCCCATCTGACAGGAGTGGGTTCATGTACCAGGTATGTCAGAATGTACATCCACATTAGGGCTGGGATCACCGATCTGATGCCCATCGGACAGGAGTGGGTTTATGTACCAGGAATGTCAGATTGTACATCCACATCAGGGCTAGTGATGTGGGTACAGTATATATGTGTGGGGTTGATGGTGTAGGTACAGTTTATGTGTGGGACATGTGTTGTGGGCACAATATGTATTGGGTATGGGCATAGTATATATGTGTGGCTGGGGGTCTGGACACACTGTTGTATGTGTGGCTGGGAGTCTGGACACACTGTTGTATGTACGGCTGGGGGTCTGGACACACTGTTGTATGTACGGCTGGGGGTCTGGACACACTGTTGTATGTGTGGCTGGGGGTCTGGACACACTGTTGTATGTACGGCTGGGGGTCTGGACACACTGTTGTATGTACGGCTGGGGGTCTGGACACACTGTTGTATGTACGGCTGGGGGTCTGGACACACTGTTGTATGTGTAGCTGGGGGTCTGGAAACACTGTTGTATGTGTGGCTGGGGGTCTGGACACACTGTTGTATGTGCGGCTGGGAGTCTGGACACACTGTTGTATGTACGGCTGGGGGTCTGGACACACTGTTGTATGTGCGGCTGGGGGTCTGGACACACTGTTGTATGTGCGGCTGGGAGTCTGGACACACTGTTGTATGTACGGCTGGGGGTCTGGACACACTGTTGTATGTACGGCTGGGGGTCTGGACACACTGTTGTATGTACGGCTGGGGGTCTGGACACACTGTTGTATGTGTGGCTGGGGGTCTGGACACACTGTTGTATGTGTGGCTGGGGGTCTGGACACACAGTTGTATGTGCGGCTGGGGGTCTGGACGCACAGTTGTATGTGCGGCTGGGGGTCTGGACGCACTGTTGTATGTGTGGCTGGGGGTCTGGACACACTGTTGTATGTGTGGCTGGGGGTCTGGACACACTGTTGTATGTGTGGCTGGGGGTCTGGACACACTGTTGTATGTGTGGCTGGGGGTCTGGACACACTGTTGTATGTACGGCTGGGGGTCTGGACACACTGTTGTATGTACGGCTGGGGGTCTGGACACACTGTTGTATGTACGGCTGGGGGTCTGGACACACTGTTGTATGTGTGGCTAGGGGTCTGGACACACTGTTGTATGTGTGGCTGGGGGTCTGGACACACTGTTGTATGTACGGCTGGGGGTCTGGACACACTGTTGTATGTACGGCTGGGGGTCTGGACACACTGTTGTATGTGTGGCTGGGGGTCTGGACACACTGTTGTATGTGTGGCTGGGGGTCTGGACACACTGTTGTATGTGTGGCTGGGGGTCTGGACACACTGTTGTATGTGTGGCTGGGGGTCTGGACACACTGTTGTATGTGTGGCTGGGGGTCTGGACACACTGTTGTATGTGTGGCTGGGGGTCTGGACACACTGTTGTATGTACGGCTGGGGGTCTGGACACACTGTTGTATGTGTGGCTGGGGGTCTGGACACACTGTTGTATGTGTGGCTGGGGGTCTGGACACACTGTTGTATGTACGGCTGGGGGTCTGGACACACTGTTGTATGTGTGGCTGGGGGTCTGGACACACTGTTGTATGTGTGGCTGGGGGTCTGGACACACTGTTGTATGTACGGCTGGGGGTCTGGACACACTGTTGTATGTACGGCTGGGGGTCTGGACACACTGTTGTATGTGTGGCTGGGGGTCTGGACACACTGTTGTATGTACGGCTGGGGGTCTGGACACACTGTTGTATGTACGGCTGGGGGTCTGGACACACTGTTGTATGTGTGGCTGGGGGTCTGGACACACTGTTGTATGTACGGCTGGGGGTCTGGACACACTGTTGTATGTGTGGCTGGGGGTCTGGACACACTGTTGTATGTGTGGCTGGGGGTCTGGACACTGTTGTATGTGTGGCTGGTGGTCTGGACACTGTTGTATGTGTGGCTGGTGGTATGGTTTTCAAGAATAGAGTCATAAATACTATGACAGAGGAGGTAATGGACCGGTTTTGGCAGTGTGTGACAGTAGGGGGAAGTGACGATTCTTGCAGGTATGTTGATGACTGGTTTTGGCACTGTGTGACAGTAGGTGGAAGTGACGATTCTTGCAGGTATGTTGATGACTGGCAGCAAACACAGGTGACCAGCATATTGTGCTGTGATGTCCCAAAGATAATATTGCAGAGATATCACAATATCCCAGAGATAATATCATAATTTCTAGAGATAATGTCACAATATCCCAGAGATAATATCTCAGTGTCTCAAAGCTAACACAATATCCCAGAGATAATATCTCAGTGTCTCAGAGCTAACACAATACCCCAGAGATAATATCTCAGTGTCTCAGAGCTAACACAATACCCCAGAGATAATATCACAGTGTCTCAGAGCTAACACAATACCCCAGAGATAGTATCACAGTGTCTCAGAGCTAACATCACAGGGCCCCAGAGATAATATCTCAGTGTCTCAGAGCTAACATCACAGGGCCCTAGAGATAATATCTCAGTGTCTCAGAGCTAACATCACAGGGCTCCAGAGATAATATCTCAGTGTCTCAGAGCTAACATCACAGGGCCCCAGAGATAATATCACAGTGTCTCAGAGCTAACATCACAGGGCCCTAGAGATAATATCACAGTGTCTCAGAGCTAACATCACAGGACCCCAGAGATAATATCACAGTGTCTCAGAGCTAACATCACAGGGCCCCAGAGATAATATCACAATGTCTCAGAGCTAACATCACAGGACCCCAGAGATAATATCACAGTGTCTCAGAGCTAACATCACAGGGCCCCAGAGATAATATCACAGGGCCCCAGAAATAATATCACAATGTCTCAGAGCTCACATCACAGGGCCCCAGAGATAATATCACAATGTCTCAGAGCTAACATCACAGGGCCCGAGAGATAATATCACAGTGTCTCAGAGCTAACATCACAAGGCCATAGAGATAATATCACAGTGTCTCAGAGCTAATATCACAAGGCCCCAGAGATAATATCACAGTGTCTTAGAGCTAACATCACAAGGCCCTAGAGATAATATCACAGTGTCTCAGAGCTAACATCACAGGGCCCCAGAGATAATATCACAGTGTCTCAGAGCTAACATCACAGGGCCCCAGAGATAATATCATAGTGTCTCAGAGCTAACATCACAGGGCCCCAGAGATAATATCATAGTGTCTCAGAGCTAACATCACAATGCCCCAGAGATAATATCACAGTGTCTCAGAGCTAACATCACAGGACCCCAGAGATAATATCATAGTGTCTCAGAGCTAACATCACAGGGCCCCAGAGATAATATCACAGTGTCTCAGAGCTAACATCACAGGGCCCCAGAGATAATATCATAGTGTCTCAGAGCTAACATCACAGGGCCCCAGAGATAATATCATAGTGTCTCAGAGCTAACATCACAGGGCCCCAGAGATAATATCACAGTGTCTCAGAGCTAACATCACAATGCCCCAGAGATAATATCACAGTGTCTTGGAGCTAACATCACAGGGCCCCAGAGATAATATCACAGTGTCTCAGAGCTAACATCACAATGCCCCAGAGATAATATCACAGTGTCTCAGAGCTAACATCACAAGGCCCTAGAGATAATATCACAGTGTCTCAGAGCTAACATCACAATGCCCCAGAGATAATATCACAGTGTCTCAGAGCTAACACAATCCCCCAGAGATAATATCACAGTGTCTCAGAGCTAACATCACAATCCCCCAGAGATAATATCACAGTGTCTCAGAGCTAACATCACAATCCCCCAGAGATAATATTACAGTGTCTCAGAGCTAACATCACAATCCCCCAGAGATAATATCACAGAGTCTCAGAGCTAACATCACAATCCCCCAGAGATAATATCACAGTGTCTCAGAGCTAACATCACAATCCCCCAGAAATAATATCACAGTGTCTCAGAGCTAACATCACAATCCCCCAGAGATAATATCACAGTGTCTCAGAGCTAACACAATCCCCCAGAGATAATATCACAGTGTCTCAGAGCTAACACAATCCCCCAGAGATAATATCACAGTGTCTCAGAGCTAACACAATCCCCCAGAGATAATATTACAGTGTCTCAGAGCTAACACAATACCCCAGAGATAATATCACAGTGTCTCAGAGCTAACATCACAGGGCCCCAGAGATAATATTACAGTGTCTCAGAGCTAACATCACAATACCCCAGAGATAATATCACAGTGTCTCAGAGCTAACATCACAAGGCCCCAGAGATAATATCACAGTGTCTCAGAGCTAACATCACAATCCCCCAGAGATAATATCACAATGTCTCAGAGCTAACATCACAGGGCCCCAGAGATAATATCACAGTGTCTCAGAGCTAACATCACAGGGCCCCAGAGATAATATCACAGTGTCTCAGAGCTAAGATCACAATCCCCCAGAGATAATATCACAGTGTCTCAGAGCTAACATCACAATCCCCCAGAGATAATATCACAGTGTCTCAGAGCTAACACAATACCCCAGAGATAATATCACAGTGTCTCAGAGCTAAGATCACAATGCCCCAGAGATAATATCACAGTGTCTCAGAGCTAACATCACAATCCCCCAGAGATAATATCACAGTGTCTCAGAGCTAACATCACAATGCCCCAGAGATAATATCACCATGTCTGGCAGATGTGAATCTGATACCCCAGTGATGTACAAGTGACACTACAGATGGCATTGACCTGAATGATGTCACGGCCTCAGAGACATGTCTTCATGTTTACTATGAGATTATGCCATATGTTAATGCAGACTTTGCTTCTGCCAGGTATTCAAGCCATGGACCTAGCACTGACAAAAACAGGAGTCTGGGCCCTGACTCCCAATGGGCAGGTCTTCTTCCGTTATGGCATCGCCAAGGACAGGCCCTGTGGGGACTACTGGAAGCAGATACCTGGCACCTTCATCAGGATCTCTGGTGAGTTTCCTAAAATACTATCTTACTTTAGGATATCTGATGGGTTTCCATAATACTATCTACTTTAGGATATCTGATGGGTTTCCATATTACTATCTTACTTTAGGATATCTGATGGCTTTCCATAATACTATCTTACTTTAGGATATCTGATGGGTTTCCCAAAATACTATCTTACTTTAGGATATCTGATGGGTTTCCCAAAATACTATCTTACTTTAGGATATCTTATGGGTCTAAGATAATACTATCTTACTTTAGGATATCTGGTAGGTCTCAGATAATACTATCTTACTTTAGGATATCTGATGGGTCTAAGATAATACTTTAGGATATCTGTTCATTTGTCAGCTAGTCAATAGATCATCCTTACTACATATTGAACTTTTCTTCCCATAACTGCACGGATCACCTCCTGTGTAGATCCCCGGTGGGTAGCAGCTGATGACATCATATCTGTGCCAATTTAATGTTTAATGGTCTTGTCAGGCCTCACACCTTTCACTTGCTGTTGTGACAGTCAGACCTCACACCTTTAACTTGCTCTTGTGACAGTCAGACCTCACACCTTTCACTTGCTGGTGTGGCAGTCAGGCCTCACACCTTTCACTTGCTGTTGTGACAGTCAGACCTCACGCCTTTCACTTGCTGTTGTGACAGTCAGGCCTCACACCTTTCACTTGCTGTTGTGGCAGTCAGACCTCACACCTTTCACTTGCTGGTGTGGCAGTCAGACCTCACACCTTTCACTTGCTGTTGTGACAGTCAGGCCTCACACCTTTTACTTGATGTGGTGACAGTCAGACCTCACACCTTTAACTTGCTGTTGTGACAGTCAGGCCTCACACCTTTCACTTGCTGTTGTGACAGTCAGACCTCACACCTTTCACTTGCTGTTGTGACAGTCAGACCTCACACTTTTCACTTGCTGGTATGGCAGTCAGACCTCACACTTTTCACTTGCTGGTATGACAGTCAGACCTCACACCTTTCACTTGCTGGTGTGACAGTCAGACCTCACAACTTTGACTTGCTGGTGTGACAGTCAGACCTCACACTTTTCACTTGCTGGTATGGCAGTCAGACCTCACACTTTTCACTTGCTGGTATGACAGTATCTTTCACACCTTTCACTTGCTGGTGTGACAGTCAGACCTCACACCTTTCACTTGCTGTTGTGACAGTCAGACCTCACACCTTTCACTTGCTGGTGTGACAGTAAGACCTCACACCTTTAGGACTTGCTGGTGTTTCAGTCAGACCTCACTACCTTTACAGGATGCTGTTGTGACAGCTCAGACCTCACACTTTCACTTGCTGGTATGACAGTCAGACCCTCACACCTTTCACTTGCTGGTGTGACAGTCAGACCTCACACCTTTCACTTGCTGTTGTGACAGTCAGACCTCACACTTTTCACTTGCTGGTGTGACAGTCAGACCTCACACCTTTCACTTGCTGGTGTGGCAGTCAGGCCTCACACTTTTCACTTGCTGTTGTGACAGTCAGACCTCACACCTTTCACTTGCTGGTGTGGCAGTCAGGCCTCACACCTTTACACTTGCTGTTGTGACAGTCAGACCTCACATTTTTCACTTGCTGTTGTGACAGTCAGACCTCACACCTTTCACTTGCTGGTGTGGCAGTCAGACCTCACACCTTTCACTTGCTGTTGTGACAGTCAGACCTCACACCTTTCACTTGCTGTTGTGACAGTCAGACCTCACACCTTTAACTTGCTGTTGTGACAGTCAGACCTCACACCTTTCACTTTCTGGTGTGGCAGTCAGACCTCACACCTTTCACTTGCTGGTGTGGCAGTCAGGCCTCACAGCTGTTGTGACAGTCAGACCTCACACCTTTCACTTGCTGGTATGGCAGTCAGACCTCACACCTTTCACTTGCTGTTGTGACAGTCAGACCTCACACTTTTCACTTGCTGGTGTGACAGTCAGACCTCACACCTTTCGCTTGCTGTTGTGACAGTCAGACCTCACACCCTTCACTTGCTGTTGTGACAGTCAGACCTTACACCTTTCACTTGCTGGTGTGGCAGTCAGCTTGTGTGGCTCACACCTTTCACTTGCTTGTGTGACAGTCAGACCTCACACCTTTCACTTGCTGTTGTGACAGTCAGACCTCACACCTTTCACTTGCTGTTGTGACAGTCAGACCTCACACCTTTCACTTGCTGTTGTGACAGTCAGACCTCACACCTTTCACTTGCTGGTGTGGCAGTCAGACCTCACACCTTTCACTTGCTGTTGTGACAGTCAGGCCTCACACCTTTAACTTGCTCTTGTGACAGTCAGACCTCACACCTTTCACTTGCTGGTGTGACAGTCAGACCTCACACTTTTCACTTGCTGGTGTGGCAGTCAGACCTCACACTTTTCACTTGCTGGTATGACAGTCAGACCTCACACCTTTCACTTTCTGGTGTGACAGTCAGACCGCACACCTTTCACTTGCTGGTGTGACAGTCAGACCTCACACCTTTCACTTGCTGGTATGGCAGTCAGGCCTTAACCTTTACACTTGCTGTTGTGGCAGTCAGGCCTCACACCTTTCACTTGCTGGTATGGCAGTCAGGCCTCACACCTTTACACTTGCTGTTGTGGCAGTCAGACCTCACACCTTTCACTTGCTGGTATGGCAGTCAGGCCTTACCTCACAGGCCTTCACACCTTGACTTGCTGGTGTGACAGTCAGGCCTCACACCTTTCACTTGCTGGTATGGCAGTCAGACCTCACACTTTTCACTTGCTGGTGTGACAGTCAGACCTCACACCTTTACACTTGCTGGTGTGGCAGTCAGACCTCACACTTTTCACTTGCTGTTGTGACAGTCAGACCTCACACCTTTCACTTGCTGTTGTGACAGTCAGACCGCACACCTTTCACTTGCGGGTGTGACAGTCAGACCTCACACCTTTCACTTGCTGTTGTGACAGTCAGACCTCACACCTTTCACTTGCTGTTGTGACAGTCAGACCTCACACCTTTCACTTGCTGGTATGACAGTCAGACCTCACACTTTACACTTGCTGGTATGACAGTCAGACCTCACACCTTTCACTTGCTGGTGTGACAGTCAGACCTCACACCTTTCACTTGCTGTTGTGACAGTCAGACCTCACACTTTACACTTGCTGGTATGGCAGTCAGACCTCACACTTTACACTTGCTGGTGTGACAGTCAGACCTCACACCTTTCACTTGCTGGTGTGACAGTCAGACCTCACACCTTTCACTTGCTGTTGTGACAGTCAGACCTCACACCTTTCACTTGCTGTTGTGACAGTCAGACCTCACACCTTTCACTTGCTGTTGTGACAGTCAGACCTCACACCTTTCACTTGCTGGTGTGACAGTCAGACCTCACACCTTTCACTTGCTGTTGTGACAGTCAGACCTCACACCTTTCACTTGCTGTTGTGACAGTCAGACCTCACACCTTTCACTTGCTGGTGTGACAGTCAGACCTCACACCTTTCACTTGCTGTTGTGACAGTCAGACCGCACACCCTTCACTTGCTGGTGTGACAGTCAGACCTCACACCTTTCACTTGCTGTTGTGACAGTCAGACCTCAGCTGGTATGGCCTCAGACACACACTTTCACACTTGCTGATGTGGCAGTCAGACCTCACACCTTTCACTTGCTGTTGTGGCAGTCAGACCTCACACCTTTCACTTGCTGGTAGTGACAGTCAGACCTCACACCTTTCACTTGCTGGTGTGACAGTCAGACCTCACACTTTTCACTTGCTGGTATGACAGTCAGACCTCACACCTTTCACTTGCTGTTGTGACAGTCAGACCTCACACCTTTCACTTGCTGGTGTGACAGTCAGACCTCACACCTTTCACTTGCTGTTGTGACAGTCAGACCTCACACCTTTCACTTGCTGTTGTGACAGTCAGACCTCACACCTTTCACTTGCTGGTGTGACAGTCAGACCTCACACCTTTCACTTGCTGGTGTGACAGTCAGACCTCACACCTTTCACTTGCTGGTGTGACAGTCAGACCTCACACCTTTCACTTGCTGTTGTGACAGTCAGACCTCACACCTTTCACTTGCTGGTGTGACAGTCAGACCTCACACCTTTCACTTGCTGGTGTGGCAGTCAGACCTCACACTTTTCACTTTCTGGTATGACAGTCAGACCTCACACCTTTCACTTTCTAGTGTGACAGTCAGACCGCACACCTTTCACTTGCTGGTATGACAGTCAGACCTCACACCTTTCACTTGCTGGTATGGCAGTCAGGCCTTAACCTTTACACTTGCTGTTGTGGCAGTCAGGCCTCACACCTTTCACTTGCTGGTATGGCAGTCAGGCCTCACACCTTTACACTTGCTGTTGTGGCAGTTAGGCCTCACACCTTTCACTTGCTGTTGTGACAGTCAGACCTCACACCTTTACACTTGTGACAGTCAGACCTCACACCTTTCACTTGCTTGTGTGGCAGTCAGACCTCACACCTTTCACTTGCTGGTGTGACAGTCAGACCTCACACCTTTCACTTGCTGGTATGGCAGTCAGACCTCACACCTTTCACTTGCTGGTATGGCAGTCAGGCCTCACACCTTTCACTTGCTTGTGTGGCAGTCAGGCCTCACACCTTTCACTTGCTTGTGTGGCAGTCAGGCCTCACACCTTTCACTTGCTGTTGTGGCAGTCAGGCCTCACACCTTTCTCTTGCTGTTGTGGCAGTCAGGCCTCACACCTTTCACTTGATGGTATGGCAGTCAGGCCTCACACCTCTCACTTGCTGGTATGGCAGTCAGACCTCACACCTTTCACTTGCTGGTGTGACAGTCAGGCCTCACACCTTTCACTTGCTGGTATGGCAGTCAGACCTCACACCTTTCACTTGCTGGTATGGCAGTCAGGACTCACACCTTTTACTTGCTGGTATGGCAGTCAGACCTCACACCTCTCACTTGCTGGTATGGCAGTCAGGCCTCACACCTTTCACTTGCTGGTATGGCAGTCAGGCCTCACACCTTTACACTTGCTGTTGTGGCAGTCTGATCGTGGTCCATCACTTCTTGTCTGTTTGGGGATCTCTGTGGCAATGTGATCAAGTTGTTTGCCTCATGCTCTGAAGTTCATGGGTTCATGTCATGACTGTGTGGTTTGCCTCATGCTCTGAAGTTCATGGGTTCATGTCATAACTGTGTGGTTTGCCTAATGCTGTGGAGTTCATGGGTTCATGTCATGACTGTGTGATTTGCCTCATGCTCTGAAGTTCATGGGTTCATGTCATAACTGTGTGGTTTGCCTCATGCTGTGGAGTTCATGGGTTCATGTCATGACTGTGTGATTTGCCTCATGCTGTGAAGTTCATGGGTTCATGTCATGACTGTGTGGTTTGCCTCATGCTCTGAAGTTCATGGGTTCATGTCATGACTGTATGGTTTGCCTCATGCTCTGAAGTTTATTGGTTCATGACTTGGTGTTTTGCCTCATGCTCTGAAGTTCATGGGTTCATGTCATGACTGTGTTGTTTGCCTCATTCTCTGAAGTTCATGGGTTCATGACTGTGTGGTTTGCCTCATTCTCTGAAGTTCATGGGTTCATGATTGTGTGGTTTGCCTCATTCTCTGAAGTTCATGGGTTCATGTCATGACTGTGTGGTTTGCCTCATGCTGTGGAGTTCATGGGTTCATGTCATGACTGTGTGGTTTGCCTCATGCTGTGAAGTTCATGGGTTCATGTCAGGACTGTGTGGTTTGGTTTGTTCATGAGTGCAGCTTTTATAGAGGAATCGCAACTAGAGCTACAGAGTTCATGCTTTGTGTGAATTCAGTGTTTTCATGTTCAACTTGATAAGTCAGTCCTGTCTATTACTGATGCAGCCTCTACAGTGGCCATGCCTGCAAGCGTATCAGCTTTTACATGTCATCACTTTCTAGCCAGTTGCATACAGAGAAGGACACACAACACTCTGATGGCACGTGAACTTACTCTTGTCCCGGCTCTCTGCCTTCTCATGAACACACTTGTTGAGTATTTTCCTCGATTTTCCTGTGTTCTTTTTTGTTCATTTGTTTAAACCTAGGCTTTCTCTTCTTCTTCTTACTATTGATTGTTGGGTAGCACAACATGATTGTTGGGTAGCACAACATGATTGTTGGGTAGCACAAAGTGATGTTGGGTAGCACAAAGTGATGTTGGGTAGCACAAATGATGTTAGGTAGCACAAAGTGATGTTAGGTAACACAAAGTGATATTGGGTAGCACAAAGTGATGTTAGGTAACACATAGTGATGTTGGGTAACACAAAGTGATGTTGGGTAGCACAACATGATTGTTGGGTAGCACAAAGTGATTGTTGGGTAGCACAAAGTGATGTTGGTAGACTAGTGCTCTTTTGCAGTTTATCAAAATGTACAACTTCTGTCAAAATCTGTCATCTGTTTTTCACACACGACCCACTTTAGACATAAGCTTGATTGCAGTGACTCCTGTATGTGCTACTGTGATTACAGTGACTCCTTTATGTGCTACTGTGATTGCAGTGACTCCTGTATGTGCTACTGTGATTGCAGTGACTCCTGTATGTGTTACTGTGATTGCAGTGACTCCTGTATGTGCTACTGTGATTGCAGTGACTCCTGTATGTGCTACTGTGATTGCAGTGACTCCTGTATGTGCTACTGTGATTGCAGTGGCTCTTGTATGTGCTACTGTGATTGCAGTGACTCTTGTGTGTGTTACTGTGGTTGCAGTGACTCTTGTGTGCACTACTATGTTAGTCTATTTTTGACCATCCTACCCTCATGTAGAAGATGACAAAGATTGAATACAAACATGGTATTGTCATTATAGAAGATAGATCTCAGTGATGAAAGATTGAATACAAATATGGTAATATCATTATAGAAGATAGATCTCAGTGATGAAAGATTGAATACAAATATGGTAATATCATTATAGAAGATAGATCTCAGTGATGAAAGATTGAATACAAACATGGTAATGTCATTATAGAAGATAGATCTCAGTGATGAAAGATTGAATACAAACATGGTATTGTCATTATAGAAGATAGATCTCAGTGATGAAAGATTGAATACAAACATGGTATTGTCATTATAGAAGATAGATCTCATTGATGAAAGATTGAATACAAACATGGTATTGTCTTTATAGAAGATAGATCTCAGTGATGAAAGATTGAATACAAACATGGTATTGTCATTATAGAAGATAGATCTCAGTGATGAAAGATTGAATACAAACATGGTAATGTCATTATAGAAGATAGATCTCAGTGATGAAAGATTGAATACAAATATGGTATTGTCATTATAGAAGATAGATCTCAGTGATGAAAGATTGAATACAAATATGGTAATGTCATTATAGAAGATAGATCTCAGTGATGAAAGATTGAATACAAATATGGTAATGTCATTATAGAAGATAGATCTCAGTGATGAAAGATTGAATACAAATATGGTAATGTCATTATAGAAGATAGATCTCAGTGATGAAAGATTGAATACAAACATGGTATTGTCATTATAGAAGATAGATCTCAGTAATGAAAGATTGAATACAAATATGGTATTGTCATTATAGAAGATAGATCTTAGTGATGAAAGATTGAATACAAACATGGTAATGTCATTATAGAAGATAGATCTCAGTGATGTTATTGAGACAAGCAGACTCTGGTTACAGCATTGAGATGTTCATTTGACAATATTGATGTTGACAATGATGGTCTACTCCCCAGCTTCAGCCAATGATGAACTGTGGGGCATCAACACAGAGGGACAGCTCATGCAGTGTAGCGTCAAGTACCTGACTCGATCCCAGGACTCATCCGATCCCCTGCTGCCGAGGAGTGTCAGCATCAGCTCATCCGTATCTGAGGATGTTGACTGGGAGATTGTTTGAAGATGTTGACTAGCAGATTGTCTGAGAATGTTGACTGGCAGATTTTTTGAGGATGTTGGAAGTTTGCTAAAAGGTGATGTCACCCTCTAACCATATTTGTTGAGAAACTGTCAGAGTATGTCATCCTGGCACCCTGTGTGTGATGGTTGATCTCTGGACAGCGACATATTTGTACTGTTTGTCCCTGTCAGTTAGAGGTTAATTAACTTGTTTTACAATCTTTGACCTATCAGGACCTGATTTCTCTGGCTGTAGTTTAGTAAGACATTGTTCTTGGGGCTTTCAGAGAGCAGTAAGAGATTGTTCTTGGGGCTTTCGAACAGCAGTAAGAGATTGTTCTTGGGGCTTTCCAACAGCAGTAAGAGATTGTTCTTCCAACAGTCGAATTGTTCTGGGGCTTTCACAACAGTAGTAGAGATTGTTACTTGGGGCTTTCAACAGCAGTGAGAGAATTCTTCTGAGGGGCTTTCAGCACCTCATGGACAGTAAGAGATTGTTCTTGGGGCTTTCAGACAGCAGTAAGAGATTGTTCTTGGGGCTTTCAGACAGCAGTAAGAGATTGTACACTGGTATTGTCTTAAGAAGAAAGATCTCAGTGATTGAAAGATTATACAAACATGGTAATGTCTTATAGAAGAAGATCTCAGTGATAAAAAGATTGAATACAAACTATGGTAATGTCACTGTAAGAGAGTCTACTGATGAAGAATAACAGCTGTATCATTATAACAAGATATGATCTCAGTGACACTAGAATTGAACAGCTGTTAATCACTGCTGTCCTGACACTAACTAAAATGGGTAATATCACTGTCTCCTGACACTAACAGTGCTGTTATCACTGCTGTCCTGACACTGACTAACTGGTTATCAGCTTGAGATGACACTTGAACTAACATGTTGACAATGATCACTGCTGTCCTGACACTAACTAACAGCTGTTATCACTGCTGGCATGACATAATAACAGGGACATCAGAAACGTCAACTAACAGTTGTTATCACTGCTCTCCTGACACTACAGAGCTGCCGAGGGTCACTGCGTCCTGATGCCGCTGTTATCACTGCTTTTCAGAAACTAACTAACAGTTGTTATCACTGCTGTCCTGACACTAACAGTTGTTATCACTGCTGTCCTGACACTAACAGTTGTTATCACTGCTGTCCTGACGCTAACAGGTGTTATCACTGCTGTCCTGACGCTAACAGCTGTTATCCCTACTTTCCTGACACTAACTAACAGCTGTTTCTACTGCTGTCCTGACATTAACTAACAGCTGTTTTCACTGCTGGCCTGACACTAACAGCTGTTATCACTGCTGGTAAGCATAAAACCACCAGTGTGTTTGAGGAGAAAGAGTGGTCATGATGGTTTAAAAGACAGACAAATTAAAGGATTTTCAAAAAACTTGGAGCAACATATAGGTAAATCGAAAACTTTAGGAAGATTAAGTTAAATATTTGATCCCTGCAGGACTGAGAACACTAACACTGTTAATGAAGAGATTTTCCAAAAAGAGAAGTGGCTGGCTTCATCACCAGAGCAAGATTTTATGGCAGTGATTGAGTTGTTTTTTTTTTCTTGGTGGTTAGATCTATAAAAATAAGAGGTTTAAACGCTGTGTTGTGAAATGCACAAGATATTTACAGAAAAAAATCTGCAAACGCTTTGTTAGAATTCACCTGTGGTCCCAGGTTAACCCAGCCGGGAAAATACCCAGGGAAGTAAAAGCTGCTGCCATGGTGTTGACCACTTCACCTGTTGACTAGCACTTTGGCTGTAAAAGCATGTGCTAGCATCAGATGTACCCGTGTCACATGTGTCCAGGATGTGTAAAGGTATTTGATCAAGTGTTACTGAAGCACCAGCTACTTTACTATTATGTGGCTTCATCCTTTGTTCCATGGCCATATGTTTTTGCCTGATTTTTTTTTTCATTTCACAATTTAATACTCGTTATGGCTTGATCATTTGATACTTCATTGTTGAATAAGGCTAATTTATTAGATTAACATTTATTATTTCATCATTTGTGGGACTTCATCTGCTAAAACTTGATCATTGGATACTTCACTATTTATGTCTGCAAAATGTGAATGTGTAGCATATTATATTGCATCATTGGCTACTTCATCATGTTTCCCTGCATCATTCTTGTGATATCAGCCAAGTTATATCCTGCTTGTCTGACAGTGCCATTCTCTGATGCCAGAGGCCCATGTGATAAAGAACAGAATAGGACAGACCAAAACTGAATTTTATGAAATGAAGAACATTTTGTGCAATAAATCCATGACATTGGAGGTTAGGAAAAATAATTTGTGCCTGCTGTATAGAGCCAGTTTTAACATACAGCTTTGAAGATGTAGTTATACAGAAGAATCCTTAGAATTTCTTGGACAGCTTAAAAGAGCAACCCAGATGTTTTGAAGGAGGTGAGAGTTTGAAGACCACTTATGACGCACATCAGAAAGAGACAGCCATAATTCTTTGGTCATATAACGAGAAGAGGGAAACTGTAACATGTTATGAAAGATCTGTGAAAAGAGAGACAGGGGAAGACAGTACATGAAGATTCTTGACAGCCTTGTGTCATCCATGGAGTGGTGTCAGCACATGAACTGATTGTGCAGATGACCTATGCCAGTCGGCAAGTCAATTGATGATAAGTGGAGATGTTTTATCCCATGGAGTGGTGTCAGCACATGAACTAATTGTGCAGATGACCTATGCCAGTCTGCAAGTCAATTGATGATAAGTGAAGGATGTTTTATGTTGATGTGCAGGGTGCTTTTACAGGAGTGCATGGTGTTTTATGTTGACTTAGTGCAGGGTGATTTATGTTGACTTAGTGCAGGGTGATTTATGTTGACTTAGTGCAGGGTGATTTATGTTGACTTAGTGCCGTTTGTTTTGTGTTGACTTAGTGCAGGGTGATTTATGTTGACTTAGTGCAGGGTGATTTATGTTGACTTAGTGCAGGGTGATTTATGTTGACTTAGTGCAGGGTGATTTATGTTGACTTAGTGCAGTTTGTTTTGTGTTGACTTAGTGCATGGTGTTTTGTGTTGATTAGTGCATAGTGTTTTATGTTGACTTAGTGCAGGGTGATTTATGTTGACTTAGTGCAGGGTGATTTATGTTGACTTAGTGCAGGGTGATTTATGTTGACTTAGTGCAGGGTGATTTATGTTGACTTAGTGCAGGGTGATTTATGTTGACTTAGTGCAGGGTGATTTATGTTGACTTAGTGCAGGGTGATTTATGTTGACTTAGTGCATGGTGTTTTGTGTTGACTAGTGCAGGTTGCTTTTACATTTAGTGAGTGCAGGGTTTTTATGTTGACTTAGTGCAGGGTAGGGTTATTTTGACAAGTGCCGTTTTTTTTTTTTTTACTTAGTGCAGGGTTTACTTAGTGCAAGTGCATAGGTTGTTTGGGAGTGCAGTTTGACTTATAGTGTGGGTGTTTACTTAGTGCATGGTGCTTTATGTTGACTAAGTGCATAGTGTTTTGTGTTGACTTAGTTCAGGTTGCTTTATCTTGACTAAGTGCATAGTGTTTTGTGTTGACTTAGTTCAGGTTGCTTTTACATTTAGTGATTGCAGGTTGTTTTAATGTTGACTTAGTTCAGGAAGTTTTATGTTGACTGATCAGAGTTCCCAGGGGGTGTGTTCTCTCAATATTTTCTCCGGGGTGTGCAGGAGTGTCAAGAAATGAACAGGCAAACAGTTTGGCTGCTTCTGCACCAATGGGTGGTAAATTTATACTTGAAAGCTAAGTATAATTCAAGGCCCTTTGGGAGCAAGTGAACAGTGGTGCACTGTGATTGCAGTGACTCCTGTATGTGCTACTGTGATTACAGTGACTCCTGTATATGCTACTGTGATTGCAGTGACTCCTGTATGTGCTACTGTGATTGCAGTGACTCCTGTATGTGCTACTGTGATTGCAGTGACTCCTGTACTGTGATTGCTACTGTAGTGCTACTGTGCAGTGACTCCTGTATGTGCTACTGTGATTGCAGTGTCTCCTGTATATGCTACTGTGATTGCAGTGACTCCTGTATGTGCTACTGTGATTGCAGTGACTCCTTTATGTGCTACTGTGATTGCAGTGACTCCTGTATGTGCTACTGTGATTGCAGTGACTCCTGTATGTGCTACTGTGATTGCAGTGACTCCTGTATGTGCTACTGTGATTGCAGTGACTCCTGTATGTGCTACTGTGATTGCAGTGACTCCTGTATGTGCTACTGTGATTGCAGTGACTCCTGTATGTGCTACTGTGATTGCAGTGACTCCTGTATGTGCTACTCTGGTTGCAGTGACTCCTGTGTGTACTGCTGTGTTAGTCTATATTTGACCTTCCTACACTCATGTAGAAGAGTACAAAGATTAAATACAAACATGGTAATGTCATTATAGAAGATAGATCTCAGTGATGAAAGATTAAATACAAATATGGTAATGTCATTATAGAAGATAGATCTCAGTGATGAAAGATTGAATACAAACATATTATTATCATTATAGAAGATAGATCTCAGTGATGAAAGATTAAATACAAACATGGTAATGTCATTATAGAAGATAGATCTCAGTGATGAAAGATTAAATACAAACATGGTAATATCATTATAGAAGATAGATCTCAGTGATGAAAGATTGAATACAAACATGGTAATTTCATTATAGAAGATAGATCTCAGTGATGAAAGATTGAATACAAACATGGTCATGTCATATAGAAGATAGATCTCAGTGATGAAAGATTGAATACAAACATGAATCGACCATTATTGTCTGGTACAGCTGGTAGTGACCAGTGGACACTGTGATACAGCTGAGAGTGACCAGGGGATAACACTGTGATACAGCTGAGAGTGACCAGGGGATAACACTGTGATACAGCTGAGAGTGACCAGGGGATAACACTGTGGTACAGCTGGTAGTGATCAGGGGGTGACACCTTGGTACAGCTTTGAGTGACCAGGGGACAACACTGTGGTGTCACAGCTGGGAGTGATCAGGAGACAACACAATGGTACAGCTAGTAGTTACCAAGGGACAGCACTGTTGTATAGCTGGTAGTGACCAGGGGACAACACTGTGTTACAGGTGGGAATGACCATGGAATGACACTGTTGTATAGCTGGTAGTGACCAGGGGGACAACACTGTATTACAGCTGGTAGTGACCAGGGGGACAACACTGTGTCACAGTTGGTAGTGACCAGGGGATGACACTCCAGTACTGCATAGAGTGACCAGGATACCACACTGGTACAGCTGGACCAGGGAACAACACTGTGGTACAGGTTGACCAGGGGACAACACTGTGGTACAGGTTGACCAGGGGACAACACTGTGGTACAGGTTGACCAGGGGACAACACTGTGGTACAGGTTGACCAGGGGACAACACTGTGGCACAGGTTGACCAGGGGACAACACTGTGGTACAGGTTGAACAGGGGACAACACTGTGGTACAGGTTGACCAGGGGACAACACTGTGGTACATCTGGTAGTGACTAGGGGACAACACTCTAGTACATCTGGTAGTGACCAGGGAACAACACTGTGGTGTCACAGCCAAGGCAAAAGTGTAGGTTGTTTTATGTTTACAATGTGCATGATGTTTGACTGAGTGCAGGCTGTTTTGTGTTTACTGTGTGCATGATGTTTTACTTTGACTAAGTGCAGGCTGTTTTATGTTTACAATGTGCATAATTTTTTACTCTGAGTGCAGGCTGTTTTATATTTACAATGTGCATGATGTTTTACTTTTACTAATTGCAGGCTGTTTTATGTTTACTGTGTGCATGATGTTTTACATTGACTAGGCTGTTTTGTGTTTACTGTGAGCATGATGTTTTACTTTTATTAATTGTAGGGTGTTTTGTGTTTACAATATGCATGATGTTTTACTTTGACTGAGTGCAAGCTGTTTTATGTTTACTATGTGCATAATGTTTGACTAATTGCGGGCTGTTTGACGTTACTGAGTGCAGGATGTTGTCCATTTGTTGCGAGAGTGACTTCTTAGTAATTGGTACAGGCAGGTGTTCTGTTGTCAGTGAACTGGTTGTGCTTCTTGCACTTTATTGCATGTGCAACTACTGATGTTCTTTTCTTTCAAACTGCAGCTTTCATCAGTGGTGAACTGCATTTCTAGTAGCAGACTGTTTGTGTTGTCACCTCTGATATAAGCCTGATGCCTTGAGTGTGTCTGTGTTGTCACCTCTGATATAAGCCTCATGCATTGAGTGTGTTTGTGTTGTCACCTCTGATATAAGCCTCATGCCTTGAGTGTGTTTGTGTTGTCACCTCTGATATAAGCCTCATGCATTGAGTGTGTCTGTGTTGTCACCTCTGATATAAGCCTGATGCCTTGAGTGTGTTTGTGTTGTCACCTCTGATATAAGCCTCATGCATTGAGTGTGTCTGTGTTGTCACCTCTGATATAAGCCTGATGCCTTGAGTGTGTTTGTGTTGTCACCTCTGATATAAGCCTGATGCCTTGAGTGTGTTTGTGTTGTCACCTCTGATATAAGCCTGATGCATTGAGTGTGTCTGTGTTGTCACCTCTGATATAAGCCTGATGCCTTGAGTGTGTTTGTGTTGTCACCTCTGATATAAGCCTCATGCATTGAGTGTGTTTGTGTTGTCACCTCTGATATAAGCCTCATGCATTGAGTGTGTCTGTGTTGTCACCTCTGATATAAGCCTGATGCCTTGAGTGTGTCTGTGTTGTCACCTCTGATATAAGCCTGATGCCTTGAGTGTGTTTGTGTTGTCACCTCTGATATAAGCCTGATGCCTTGAGTGTGTTTGTGTTGTCACCTCTGATATAAGCCTGATGCCTTGAGTGTGTTTGTGTTGTCACCTCTGATATAAGCCTGATGCCTTGAGTGTGTCTGTGTTGTCACCTCTGATATAAGCCTGATGCCTTGAGTGTGTCTGTGTTGTCACCTCTGATATAAAGCCTGATGCCTTGAGTGTGTCCTGTGTTGGTCACCTCTGATATAAGCCTGATGCCTTGAGTGTGTCTGTGTTGTCACCTCTGATATAAGCCTGATGCCTTGAGTGTGTCTGTGTTGTCACCTCTTATATAAGCCTGATGCCTTGAGTGTGTTTGTGTTGTCACCTCTGATATAAGCCTGATGCCTTGAGTGTGTCTGTGTTGTCACCTCTGATATAAGCCTGATGCCTTGAGTGTGTCTGTGTTGTCACCTCTGATATAAGCCTGATGCCTTGAGTGTGTCTGTGTTTTGTCCACCTCTGATATAAGCCTGATGCCTTGAGTGTGTCTGTGTTGTCACCTCTGATATAAGCCTGATGCCTTGAGTGTGTCTGTGTTGTCACCTCTGATATAAGCCTCATGCCTTGAGTGTGTTTGTGATGTCACCTCTGATATAAGCCTGATGCCTTGAGTGTGTTTGTGTTGTCACCTCTGATATAAGCCTGATGCATTGAGTGTGTCTGTGTTGTCACCTCTGATATAAGCCTGATGCATTGAGTGTGTCTGTGTTGTCACCTCTGATATAAGCCTGATGCATTGAGTGTGTTTGTGATGTCACCTCTGATATAAGCCTGATGCATTGAGTGTGTTTGTGTTGTCACCTCTGATATAAGCCTGATGCATTGAGTGTGTTTGTGATGTCACCTCTGATATAAGCCTGATGCCTTGAGTGTGTCTGTGTTGTCACCTCTGATATAAGCCTGATGCATTGAGTGTGTCTGTGTTGTCACCTCTGATATAAGCCTGATGCCTTAAGTGTGTCTGTGTTGTCACCTCTGATATAAGCCTGATGCCTTGAGTGTGTTTGTGTTGTCACCTCTGATATAAGCCTGATGCATTGAGTGTGTTTGTGTTGTCACCTCTGATATAAGCCTGATGCATTGAGTGTGTCTGTGTTGTCACCTCTGATATAAGCCTGATGCCTTAAGTGTGTCTGTGTTGTCACCTCTGATATAAGCCTGATGCCTTGAGTGTGTTTGTGTTGTCACCTCTGATATAAGCCTGATGCATTGAGTGTGTTTGTGTTGTCACCTCTGATATAAGCCTGATGCCTTGAGTGTGTCTGTGTTGTCACCTCTGATATAAGCCTGATGCCTTGAGTGTGTCTGTGTTGTCACCTCTGATATAAGCCTGATGCCTTGAGTGTGTTTGTGTGCTATCAGCTTTAAGAGACTGCAGTCTGTGTAACACCTGATGACCTGTTTGACATTTACTGAGTGCAGTGTTTTCTCATAGCAGTCCAGCTGGCTGTGCCAGCTTCAGCAAGACGTGTGCAGGAGTTGTTTTTTTATATACGCTTATACATGACAAACTGCAAGCGATCAGTAAAAATATGTATTTCTTGTCTAATCACAAATAAACTGTCATCACTATCCTCACTGCTGGACATTTTCTCATGTGATAAGAACTCCTCAGAATGTGTGACAGTGATAACAAGTCTGCTGTTGGTTCACTAGAGAGAACGGGAGAGTTCTGACAGTGGGCGTCTGTTTCTCATCCCCTCTCTCTCATGCCTTCTCTCTCTCTCTCTCTCTCTCTCTCTCTCTCTCTCTCTCTCTCTCTCTCTCTCTCTCTCTCTCTCTCTCTCTTTCTCTCTAAGTTTTCAAGTCGGACAACCTCATCCAGTGCAGGGGTCACTCATATCATGGTAGTCTCCCCTTACACAGTGATTTTTCCTATCATTTTACATTTCAGCTGTTATTTGATGTTTTGTGTACATATTTCAAACCAACGAACAAACTCTGTTGTCAAACTGGGCATCTAGGTCCGTCTTACATTCAGCCCATCCATCTATGTGTTTCACACCTCAGTAGTATTTAATGCATAATGCATGTTTTCCTGTTTCTGAGCCTGCCTAGCCTGTACCGATACAAGTTGTCCTGGAGGCAGGTAGTTGTGTCAGCCTGGATGCCGAGATAAGCACCTGCATGCCTCAGTCAGTTCTGTTTGTCATTGACCAATTCATGCCCCTTGCTGTATTCATCTTGGAGGTCAGTGCTTCACAAGGCAGTCACCTGGCTTCTATCATCCCGTGCTGAGCGTGGCTTTCATCCAGTACTGGACCAGCCATAGCAACGGTAACATTTGTGAAGGCTAGACTGAATGAGAGCTTTTTCTTGTGTCCTACTTTGAGAGCACAGATGCCGTGCTGTCAGATGCTCTGTGTGTTTACTGTGTTAACTTTTCTCAGATTGTATTGTTTTTGTGTGTGGGCAGCAGTTGCTGGAGGCAGATATACCGAGATGGTCAGGGATGGGAGTGGACATCACGGTCACATCACTGGCCTGACTGTGTGGGTCTGTGCTAGTGTTCTCCCTTATGTCACAACCTGTGCTATTGCTGGATTATTGCTAGCACACAGTAACAGTTCGGTGAGACAGTGTTGCACAAGTGACTGTTCGATGAGACAGTGTTGCACAAATGACAGTTCGGTGAGACAGTGTTGCACAAGTGACAGTTCGGTCAGACAGTGTTGCACAAATTACAGTTTGATGAGACAGTGTTGCACAAATGACAGTTTAGTGAAACAGTGTTGCACAAGTGACAGCTCAGCGAGACAGTGTTGCACAAATGACAGTTTAGTGAGACAGTGTTGCACAAGTGACAGCTCGGCGAGACAGTGTTGCACAAATGACAGTTTAGTGAGACAGTGTTGCACAAGTGACAGCTCGGCGAGACAGTGTTGCACAAATGACAGTTCGATGAGACAGTGTTGCACAACTGACAGTTCGATGAGACAGTGTTGTACAAGTGACAGTTCGGTCAGACAGTGTTGCACAAATGACAGTTCGATGAGACAGTGTTGCACAAATGACAGTTTGATGAGACAGTGTTGCACAAATGACAGTTTAGTGAGACAGTGTTGCACAAGTGACAGCTCGGTGAGACAGTGTTGCACAAATGACAGTTCGATGAGACAGTGTTGCACAACTGACAGTTCGATGAGACAGTGTTGCACAAATTACAGTTCAATGAGACAGTGTTGCACAAATGACAGTTTAGTGAGACAGTGTTGCACAAGTGACAGCTCGGTGAGACAGTGTTGCACAAATGACAGTTCGATGAGACAGTGTTGCATAACTGACAGTTCGATGAGACAGTGTTGCACAAATTACAGTTCGATGAGACAGTGTTGCACAAGTGACAGTTTGGTGAGACAGTGTTGCACAAGTGACAGCTTGGTGAGACAGTGTTTCACAGATGACAGTTTGGTGAGATAGTATTCCACAGATGACAGTTCGGTGAGACAGTGTTGCACAAATGACAGTGTGTTGCACAGATGACAGCTCGGTGAGACAGTGTTGCATAACTGACAGTTCAATGAGACAGTGTTCCACAGATGACAGCTCCAAGACACAGTGTTGCACAAATGACAGTTCGGTGAGACAGTGTTGCACAAATGACAGCTGCACGAGACACTGTTGCACAAACTAACAACAGATATATTTTTTTGAATGCTATGTTGTAGTTGCCATTTCCTAGACCATCATGTTTTTGCTTTTTACTAAAATAATAAAAGATGAGATCAGCACACAGGGTCCTCATGTTTTCTGTCAGTTTTCACACACTCACTGTTGTCTGTTGTCACGCACTGTTGTCTGTTGTCACACACTGTTGTCTGTTGTCACACACTCACTGTTGTCACACACTGTTGTCACACACTGTTGTCACACACTGTTGTCACACACTGTTGTCACACACTGTTGTCACACACTGTTGTCACACACTGTTGCCTGTTGTCACACACTGTTGTCTTACACTGTTGTCACACACTGTTGTCACACACTGTTGTCTGTTGTCACACACTGTTGTCACACACTGTTGTCTGTTGTCACACACTGTTGTCACACACTGTTGTCTGTTGTCACACACTGTTGTCACACACTGTTGTCTGTTGTCACACACTGTTGTCACACACTGTTGTCTGTTGTCACACACTGTTGTCACACACTGTTGTCTGTTGTCACTGTGCTTTGTTTTTCCTCCCCTTCCTGCATGTCTTGATGTTTACACAGATCTACCACAGTCCCCCTTCCTGCATGTCTTGATGTTTAAACTGTTCTACCACCCTCCCCCTTCCTGCATGTCTTGATGTTTACACTGTCTACCACTCTCTCCTTCCTGCATGTCTTGATGTTTACACTGTTCTACCACCCCCTCCCCCTTCCTGCATGTCTTGATGTTTACACTGTTCTACCACCCTCTCCCCCTTCCTGCATGTCTTGATGTTTACACTGTCTACCACTCTCTCCTTCCTGCATGTCTTGATGTTTACACTGTTCTACCACCCCCTCCCCCTTCCTGCATGTCTTGATGTTTACACTGTTCTACCACCCTCTCCCCCTTCCTGCATGTCTTGATGTTTACACTGTCTACCACCCTCTCCCCTTCCTGCATGTCTTGATGTTTACACTGTCTACCACTCTCCCCTTCCTGCATGTCTTGATGTTTACACTGTCTACCACTCTCCCCTACCTGCATGTCTTGATGTTTACACTGTTCTACCACCCCCTCCCCCTTCCTGCATGTCTTGATGTTTACACTGTTCTACCACCCTCTCCCCCTTCCTGCATGTCTTGATGTTTACACTGTTCTACCACCCCCTCCCCCTTCCTGCATGTCTTGATGTTTACACTGTTCTACCACCCTCTCCCCCTTCCTGCATGTCTTGATGTTTACACTGTTCTACCACCCTCTCCCCCTTCCTGCATGTCTTGATGTTTACACTGTCTACCACTCTCCCCTTCCTGCATGTCTTGATGTTTACACTGTCTACCACTCTCCCCTACCTGCATGTCTTGATGTTTACACTGTTCTACCACCCCCTCCCCCTTCCTGCATGTCTTGATGTTTACACTGTTCTACCACCCCCTCCCCCTTCCTGTATGTCTTGATGTTTACACTGTTCTACCACCCTCCCCCTTCCTGCATGTCTTGATGTTTACACTGTTTTACCAGCCCCCCCCCCTCCCCTACCTGAATGTCTTGATGTTTACACTGTTCTACCAGCCCCCCCCCCCCCCCCCCCTTCCTGCATGTCTTGATGTTTACACTGTTCTACCAGCCCCCCCCCCCCCCCCCTCCCCCTACCTGAATGTCTTGATGTTTACACTGTTCTACCACCCCCCCCCCCCCAATATATCTTTGTGTTTGTAATGTACTCTGTTTTTGTGTCTTGTGTTCTGCATGTGTTCATGTGTTCTGTGTTCTTGGTGTGTTATGTTCTCTCTCCACGTGTTCTTGGTGTGTTATGTTCTCTCTCCACGTGTTCTTGGTGTGTTATGTTCTCTCTCCACGTGTTCTTGGTGTGTTATGTTGTCTCTCCACGTGTTCTTGGTGTGTTATGTTCTCTCTCCACGTGTTCTTGGTGTGTTATGTTGTCTCTCCACATGTTCTGGTGTGTTATGTTCTCTCTCCACGTGTTCTTGGTGTGTTATGTTCTCTCTCCACGTGTTCTTGGTGTGTTTATGTTCTCTCTCCACGTGTTTCTTGGTGTGTTATGTTGTCTCTCCACGTGTTCTTGGTGTGTTATGTTCTCTCTCCACGTGTTCTTGGTGTGTTATGTTGTCTCTCCACGTGTTCTTGGTGTGTTATGTTCTCTCTCCACGTGTTCTTGGTGTGTTATGTTCTCTCTCCACATGTTCTTGGTGTGTTATGTTGTCTCTCCACGTGTTCTTGGTGTGTTATGTTCTCTCTCCACGTGTTCTTGGTGTGTTATGTTCTCTCTTCACATGTTCTTGGTGTGTTATGTTCTCTCTCCACGTGTTCTTGGTGTGTTATGTTCTCTCTCCATGTGTTCTTGGTGTGTTATGTTCTCTCTCCACGTGTTCTTGGTGTGTTATGTTCTCTCTCCACGTGTTCTTGGTGTGTTATGTTCTCTCTCCACGTGTTCTTGGTGTGTTATGTTCTCTCTCCACGTGTTCTTGGTATGTTATGTTGTCTCTCCACGTGTTCTTGGTGTGTTATGTTCTCTCTCCACGTGTTCTTGGTGTGTTATGTTCTCTCTCCACGTGTTCTTGGTGTGTTATGTTCTCTCTCCACGTGTTCTTGGTGTGTTATGTTGTCTCTCCACATGTTCTTGGTGTGTTATGTTCTCTCTCCACGTGTTCTTGGTGTGTTATGTTCTCTCTCCACGTGTTCTTGGTGTGTTATGTTCTCTCTCCACGTGTTCTTGGTGTGTTATGTTGTCTCTCCACGTGTTCTTGGTGTGTTATGTTCTCTCTCCACGTGTTCTTGGTGTGTTATGTTGTCTCTCCACGTGTTCTTGGTGTGTTATGTTCTCTCTCCACGTGTTCTTGGTGTGTTATGTTCTCTCTCCACATGTTCTTGGTGTGTTATGTTGTCTCTCCACGTGTTCTTGGTGTGTTATGTTCTCTCTCCACGTGTTCTTGGTGTGTTATGTTCTCTCTTCACATGTTCTTGGTGTGTTATGTTCTCTCTCCACGTGTTCTTGGTGTGTTATGTTCTCTCTCCATGTGTTCTTGGTGTGTTATGTTCTCTCTCCAGCGTTCTTGGTGTGTTATGTTCTCTCTCCACGTGTTCTTGGTGTGTTATGTTCTCTCTCCACGTGTTCTTGGTGTGTTATGTTCTCTCTCCACGTGTTCTTGGTGTGTTATGTTCTCTCTCCACGTGTTCTTGGTATGTTATGTTGTCTCTCCACGTGTTCTTGGTGTGTTATGTTCTCTCTCCACGTGTTCTTGGTGTGTTATGTTCTCTCTCCACGTGTTCTTGGTGTGTTATGTTCTCTCTTCACATGTTCTTGGTGTGTTATGTTCTCTCTCCACGTGTTCTTGGTGTGTTATGTTCTCTCTCCATGTGTTCTTGGTGTGTTATGTTCTCTCTCCATGTATTCTGTGTTCTTGGTGTCTTGTGTTCTCCATTGGCTGTGTTTTTAATGTGCTGTGTTCTCCATGTGCTCTGCGTTCTTAGTGTGCTGTGTTCTCCATGTGCTCTGCGTTCTTGGTGTGCTGTTTCCCACAAGATCTGTGTTCTTGGTGTGTTCTGTTTTCTATGTGCTATGCGTTCTTGGTGTGTTGTGTTCTTCGTGTACTCTATGTGCTTGATGTGTTGTATACTCTCATTATGAATACAAATGATTTTAATACATGTCACAGATTCGCCACCGTATCTTCCACTTTCTAACCATACTACTGGCTGGACAATCTATCCAGTCCGGGAACCATTGAACGATTACCTAGTACGAACTAAACACCACTGGTCACTCTCCACGACCGTCCACTGCTGAGTCGCCCCAATACATCACCCACGTCATCGCCGTGTTCTCCTTATACAGACAAAGCCCTGTTTTCACCCAGCTCGCTAGCTGTCACTTCAGGATACAACGAGGGGTCGTCCCAGAGCCCCACAGGACCTTGACAGTTGACAGCAGTGGATCTCTAATATTGTGTCCTTCGCCCCTGATGCACACTGTTTTAACGATATCTTCCCACTTTTGTCGCTGTCTGCCACTTGCCTTCAACTCTTCTCTTGCGTATGATTTTTATAAGTGTGGCAGACGGGGCTTTTTCTCCCAGGTTGCGAAACTCACCACAAAGGATCTAAAACAAAGTGTCAGTACTCACCACAAGGTGCCTATAATACAGCAACGCTGAATAAAATAAAAGGGTTCCGATACTGAATTTTAGAACGACCAAATATTTCTTTGTCTGCTTCTTCTTTGTCCGTTTTGGGTGTGGATAGAGATCAAAGGTTGTGGTTCTTACTATTCTGCCCGCTTGGACCATAGATCGGGGTGTTCTAGCAAGAACAAATAGCCAGGCCTGTATGAAACAGCCGCTGACAACACTGTTGACTTTGTACCACAAATATCCCACTGGGTTTATGTCTTGCCATTGTCATTTTACCTATCTGGGTTCCACGGTGAATAGTAAACTATAGCTGGACCGAGAAATCGACATCCGGATAGGTAAGACAGCAACAACAATGAGCAGATTGACAACGAGAGTTTGGGAGAGTAGAAAGCTCACAATTAAAACAAAAACCTTGTCTATCAGTTTTGTGTTCTCAGCACTCTGCTTTATGGCAGTGAAACTTGGTCAACCTATTTGCACCAAGACAGACGGCTTAATAGCTTTTACATGCAATGCCTAAGAAGAATACTTGGCATTAGGTGGCAGGACAAAATCACAAACACTGAGGTACTGGAAAAAGCAGGTACTACAAAAGTCTTTTCCATGCTCAGTCTACGAAGACTCAGGTG